TCGGTTTCTATATAACTTACTCCACCTCATCATATTACCAGAAACAATATTGTTTCGCAAGGTAACAGGTACTTGATTTTGGTTCATAAGGCGGATTTTTGATTCGTTGCATCATTCATGTCTCTTTCCTGCTAAAATTCACTATTTTTGATTCGTTGACACCACTATGTAAATTTTTTGGGTCTGCCACTGGCCCAGTTACACGTGCACCCTCGTGTTAACTGTAAACACGTTCCTACATGGCTTTGACAAATATTAGGCTAAATTGCAAGTTTGGTCACTCGAATTGCTACAAAATTTCACGTTTGGTCACTCGAATTTGTTTATTCCATTCGTAGTCACTTAAATTAGTTGAACAGTTCAAGTTCAGTCACTCTTCGTTAACCTCCGTCAGACTCCGTTAGTGTCGTCAGTTAACTGCTGACGTGGCTAACAGAGATGCCTAATCACCCAATTTTAACCCAAGAAAAAACAGAAATTGACCCGCCACGTCAGAAAAACATGACACCTCATATAATCACAACCCAACCCACCCAACCTAAAAAATCCATTAACCCACCCAGAGATCGAACCCCTGACCCATCCACCCTTCTTCTTCCTCTATACCCTGCTTCCGCCGCCGTCGGGGGGATTTCCCCTCGATCTCCCTGCTGCAGCCCCCGCCGCCGGATCCAGATTCGCGACCGATTCCTTGCCCGGGGCTTCGTCTCCCACAAACCCGACCCCGACTTTCACGGGTTGCCCCGCAAACCCGATGTGCCCACCCATCAATTTGAACACCAGGTAATATTCGTCGACGATTGCAACTAGAGAGATGGATAAAATTATGACGGCGATTGCGACTAGAGAGATTGATAAACTTACGAGGAAGACCTTCGGCGCGGTGCCTAATTTCTTCGCCGGCTTGCTCGGCCATGGAGAAACGGGGAGAAGGCGGAGATCCAGCGGTGGGGGTTCTTCTTCCCCTTTGGCGAAGCTTCACCAAAGAATGTACTGCGCGCTGGTGACGGTGCTCGTCGATGATAATTGAGCTCCAAAGGGATTCGCTGCCCATGTTGGTGGAATTCAAAATACTGTAAATAGTGAAGCAGCAGCTGGATGACAATTGCGCTCCAGAGGGAAGTACTCTTCAATTTTTAAGCCTTGTCTTGACTAATGTCATTTTACTGCCTACGACAGCCTTACCTGCCGTACTTCTCCCAATCCTTTTTGTTTTTCCTGGAATCTGGTTGGGCAGTAGCAGTAGCAGTCATGGTCCTGGTAATGGTCAATGTCGAGCAGTGAATATCAGAACAATATCAAATCCCTCCTCTCCCGACGTACATCGATTCGTTGAGGTAGGTGGAGAGATCAGAAGGAGTGGAGATCAGGGTGTTGAGGTCGAGCCCGGCGTGGTTGTCGTCAATGTCCTGAAACTCAGGGAATCGGTGGAGGAATTGGGGTTGAATTTGAAGGCCTGCCGTTTGTGGAATTTGAGGCTAATTTTCTCGAGAGTGAGGGATGAAGAAGAAGTTGAAGGTCAATAAGTGGTCAGGGTTCGATTTCTGGGTGGGTTAATGGTTTTTTTTAGGTTGGGTGGGGTGGGTTGTGTTTATATGAGGTGTCATATTTTTCTGACGTGGCGGGTCAATTTCTGTTTTTTCTTGGGTTAAAATTGGGTGGCTAGACATCTCTGTTGGCCACGTCAGCAGTTAACTGACGGCACTAACGGAGTCTGACGGAGGTTAACGGAAAGTGACCGAACTTGGACTGTTCAACTAATTTAAGTGACTACGAATGGAATAAACGAATTTGAGTGACCAAACGTAAAATTTTGTAGCAATTCGAGTGACCAAACTTGCAATTTAGCCACAAATATTATGATGAAAGCCACTCACCTTTTAAAAAAAAAATGTCTATCTACTGTTCCGGAAAGAAAAACGCTAAAGACCAAATAATTAATTACCCAGACTGTAACTGTAGTCTCTAAACAGATTTCCCCAAAGGTTCAGATATCAAAAGTCTATAAATGGAGACGTATACAACGTTCCCAAAACAGGATCCAGTTCCAGTCTATATAAATAGGAAGAAGAAAGCTCTATATATATATGCACACGCATAGTCATGGACAACACGAGCGAGCTCCTCCAAGCTCAGAGTCACGTATGGCACCACACCTTCAACTTCGTCACCTCCATGTCCATAAAATGCGCCATCCAGCTGGGCCTTCCGGAAGCCGTCCAGGCCCACAGCGGGCCCATCTCCCTCCCGGACCTCGTCTCCTCCATGGGCCTCCCTCCGGCCAAAGCCCCATACCTCCGCCGCCTGCTCCGCCTCGTGGCCAACTCCGGCTTCCTCTCCCTCCACAAACAAAACGACGACGACGTTGAAAGATACTCCCTCACTCCCGCCGGCCGCCTCCTCCTCCGCCACAACCCCTTCAACGCCGGCGCGCTTCTCCTGGTGGTCCTCGATCCGGTCCTCGCCGAGCCGTTCCACCATATGAGCGCGTGGTTTCGACGCGAGGAGGGAGATGGCGACGTCGTCGATACGACGCCGTTTTCCGCAACCCGCGGCGGCAAGATGGTGTGGGAGTACGTGGCGAGCGACCCGGAGTTTTCGAATCTGTTCAATGACGCCATGGCGAGGGACAGCGGCTTGATTGCTGAGCTGGTTGTGAAGGAAGGTAAATCGGCGTTTGACGGCGTCGTATCCCTTGTCGACGTGGCTGGTGGGACCGGGAATATGGCAAAGGCGATTGCTGAGGCGTTCCCGGAGATGACGTGTACTGTGCTGGATCTGCCGCACGTTTTGTCGGGGCTGGAAGACGGCGGTAACGTGAAGTATGTTGCCGGTGACATGTTTGAGTCCATCCCCGCTGCCGATGCCGTTTTGCTTAAGGTACTTTTGCCAAAGGAAGGTGTAAGCGGTCATGTTCCGAAATCGAGATAATAGTTCAAATGGACTTTTAAGTATAATAAAATTCTTACGAACATATCATGGTTATTTAAAATGTATTGCCTTTTTAGTCTGGTTTAAAATAAAACTATCTGTTAGCTCTCTAATTTTTGTGGTCTCCACGATATTTTTTTTCCCCAGTTGTTGTCATAACGAATTCATTAAAACTTTTTTTTTCGTGCTATTTTTAAACAGATAGGAATTTTAGCTCACAAACGGGACTTTAACAATCATTATATGTGTTTCGTGCAGATATACATGAGAATATTAATTAATGTAATTATATTATATGCTTCTTTTTTTTTCTTTAGAATTATGATTCGAGAACTAATTATCTTACTCTTGGGATGTTTGAATATGGAAAAAAACAGTGGATTATGCACGACTGGAGCGACGAGAACTGCGTGAAAATTCTGAAGAAGTGCAGGACGGCGGTGACCAGCGACGGGAAAGCTGGGAAGGTGATAATCATAGACATGGTGGTTGGGAACCAAAGTTTGGACGAGAAGTTGGTGGGAATACAGTATGCATTCGACATTGAAATGATGGTTTGCATATCTGGGAAGGAGAGGAACGAGGAAGAGTGGGCGAAGCTTTTCAGTGATGCTGGATTCAGTAGCTACCATATCAATCCGATTCTTGGCACACGAGCTCTCATTCAGGTTTATCCTTGAGGGAGAAGTTCACTTATGGTCATGTTGCCAATTAAGATTTTTTTTTTTTTTTTTTTTGGTATTTCGTGGAAATAAATGTTGGTTTGTGGGCATAATGTTTATGCTGGCTAAGTTAATTGTCGCAACATCGACAAAAAAAATATCTGGTGTATGATGAAGGTTTTTGTCAGGTTCAAGTCAGCAAAATAAAAAAATTAAATTGGTTTAAGGATTGAGATAAGGGGAGTCAAGTAGGAATTAAATAAACACAATTGATGCAGGTGACTCATTCCCTCCCCTTCCATGTTAATCTTAATAATGTTATATACTTATGTTGATTTTAATTTTTTTCTTGGTAAAATTTAGGTACAGTGTTGGTAGAAGTATTTTTCTCAAATATTTTTTGAATCAAATTTGCCCTCCTACTCTAGTCTCTATGCGCACTACCAATCTTGTCATTCTGTTACAAGTTTCATTAAAATCCTATTATATGTCGTCGAACCATATTTGGGACAATCGAAAATGTCAAATTTATTTACCCCTCCGTATGTCATATCTTATTCGCCTGCAACTCCCAACAGCCAGTAGCCAGAATCCCATCCTCAATCTGGCCCACTTTCTCTTTCTCCGATCCTACAAAAATTAAACACGCAAAATCTTTCGTCTATCATATAAGAAGCTCGAAGACCGACATTTGAAGTCCAACCAAAACATGGAAGTCCCGAATTTATTGAGTAATTAAACTAAATCATCAACAATTAGAACCCGTATTTGTCGATAATATCCATATTTCAAAGTATACGAATCCCAATTGAAATGAAAAGAGTGGGAAACCATATTCGGAAGGTAAAAGAATTGCACATTGGCTTTAGGGATAACTTTGGTTTTCTCATGCACTTCGGTCCTTAATCAATTGAGCGAAAACAAAGACAGGGATAAAAAAAACTCGTAGTTTTCCCATTAAAGTGTGAATCAGTTCGTTTAAACCGGTCTAATTACAACTATACTCTGATTGCATCCGATTCGGTCTGGTTACTGGTCACAACTCACGACGAGGTTATGAAAAACTGATTAAAACTGCCCATAACATAATCCCGAGTCGCTTACAAAACGCGTGCCAAAAGGGATAAATGACCATGCTAGCAAGATAATTAATCAACTGCAAAAAGTCACAACAACAACACAATTTTTTTTTTTAAATGCGTTGCTTAATCTTTCCGCCATTGCCGAAATCAGAAGAAAAGTCAACGAGAGCAGGTAAACCAGTAAACCACTCTGCTGAAAGGCCGATCGCCTGCTCTGCTCGCCTACTTTTATAGCACCATTCCATTCCTTGTTCCTCCTGCAATTCAAACCACCTTCTAGTTTGGCTTTTGCTTCCCCGTTTCCCCCTTTTCCCCTCTCGCCATCATGTCCACCCAAAGCAACTCCAGCAGCAGATACTTGACCCACGAACTCGTAATCCAGATCTTGCTGAGGCTGCCCACCGCGTCTTCTCTCGCCCGATTCCGCTGCGTCTCCAGATCATGGCGCTCCCTCCTCTCCGATCCCGAATTCATCCGCAATTTCCTCTTCCACCACAGTTCCAAGGACGGGACTCGCCTCAGGATCATGATCAAGCGCCTCTGCTACGACCGGTCGGTTTACTCCCTCCACCGCTTCGACACGCTCCGCCACATCTCCACCGCCGCAGCCGCCGAAGAGGAGGAAGAATTGCCCACCGCTCCCTACAAGGTTCGTTGGCCCAACGGTTCTTCACAATTGGACATTGTCGGCCACGCGAACGGGATCTTCTGCATAGCCGATGGGAACAGCGACGGTGCCTCGGATATCATACTGTGGAATCCGGAGACCTCGGAGACGAGAGTTGTGCCTGTTTCACCCTTTGCTCATATGAGCGGGTTCGTTGTCTGGGGCCAGCAAGAGCAGATTGGGTTTGGTTTCGACCCCGAATCGAACGACTACAAAGTCGTTCGAACTCTGCAGTTCACTCAGGGCGGTAATGATAATGATGATGATGACGACGATGGTGATGGTAATTATTCACAGGACGAGGAGGAGGAGGAGGTGGAAGAGGACGAGTCGTCGCTGGAATTGAGTGAGGTCTTCAGCCTAAGGCATGGTTCGTGGAGGAAACTCCAAGGTGGGTTCACCCCTGGGCTGCTCTACAGCATTCCTGAGTGTCATGAAGGAAGATACTACTGGTGGTGGGATGAAGGCCCCGACGGCTGCTCGACTTTCGTTTCGTTCGATATCAGAAGTGAAGTGTTTGAGACTGTGGAAGTGGCCAATCCGGTGGGAATGTCGTCGGATTTCTCCATCCGATCCGTCTCCTTGGTGAAAGGATCGGTCGTGGCTGTATTTTCGGATATGGAGACAGTTGATGAACCCAATTCGTTGGAGGTATGGGCGCTGTTAAACTTTGCAGGAGAAGGATGGATCAAGTTGTACAGCATTGCGAGCACTCTACTGATGAATTGCGTCCATCCGGTGGGGATATGGAGAAACGGGAGGTGTTTCCTGCAGAGGTATGAAGATGGAGAGCTCATCGTCTTTGATCCCGAAATCGGAAGTATTGTTACTACTGATGTTCAGCTGCAGGGAGAATGGCAGTTTTTTCAAATCGTTCCTTATGCTCCATCTCGAATTTCGCTGTCGGAGTTGGCCTGAGCTGAGATGCACCTTTTTCCTCTTTCTGTACTCTCCCACTCTCATGTTGTTGAATAAGAAAGAACGATGTAGAAGAGGTTTTCAAGTATAATAACAGACTGAAATGGCATGGCACAAAGGAATATTAGTAGCTTAAAGCCAACATTGGCCAATGCATGAAAGAATCAACTAGAGTTGCTAGTCTACGAGACATAAAACAAGGAAAACAACATGAAGGAAGTTTAGTCGCTTAAAGCCTCCAGAAAAGCGTTCAAGATCATGATTCCAGAGAATACGACCTCTGCTTCGACTCTCATACAATCACAGTACTGTGTCACCTCTTTCCAGAACTCTGGACGATTCCTGCAGCTCAAATAAGGTGAAGCCCATCAATGACAATCCTGCGAAGTAGTGGGGCATTGGCTAGCACAAGCCTCACCAGGTCCAGCTCCACCTGTGAGCCATGGCTTCCGTCAATGATCAACTCCTCAAGACGCTGAAAGCAACAACCGGTCGATCCAGTAAGTTCCCCTGCTTCCAACAAACTACCCAGGCTGTCGATCACATTTTCCAGTGGTGGAGCTCGTTGTATACCATCAATCTACAGCAAGCATTTTGTTAAACGAACAACCTCAGGGTTTAGAGCCATACAGAGTGACACTGAACCAGATCGAATTCGTTAGTACACAACAATAACATCAACGAAAAAACAAAACTAACCTGGATGGTGAGTGTTTTCAAGTTGGGAGAGCTCATGATCAGGCAAAGGAGAACACGAGCCTCGCGCAAGCTATGCAATACTATATTATCCATTTCCAGGACTTCCAAGTGCTGAAGAGGAGTAGGAAGCCTTTTGGGAACATGGTCACCTGCAGCAAGTAACTAGAGTGGAGAAGAGCACCAAAAATACATGAGTATTGAGCAGATGGAGAGAAACAAAACAATGCCGAGTAGGGGAGGAGTATAGCTAGACGTTACTTGCAGGAATTCAATGCCAAGTTTCAGCTCTTGGAGTGCAGGGAGGGAAGCAAATACATCGACTATATCAACACTGTCTTGCTGATCATCGTACAACTTATTGGACAAGTAATCTCTTTCGTCTAGAATGGACACCAGCGAAAGAAGCGGGGTATGCTTGAACCAAATGCTCCGCAAGATGATCCGAAAACACAGCACTTTGAGACGAGGAGCATCGATTCCAAGAGGAGAGCCTAGCCCACAACAATCTATTATCCTCAAATCTTCTAGCAGCGGGCACTTGGTAACAAAACCAAGGAAGAAATCCTCGTCCAACATTATGTTATTCAGTTCGAGATGGGTGAGCTTGTTGAAGCCCACAAACCCAGGAGGTGGTCTAAATTCACAGCTCTGCAATTTCAGGGTACTGAGTTCAATAGCAGCAAACAAGGAAGGGAAATTCCTGAGGTCATAAACATACCGCCCTGATTCATCGAGTATTCGAAGCGTGAAATCCCGGAGCACTTTGTTGTTGGCAAGATAAAGAATGAAGTGATCGATCTCGTCACATGGTCTTAATCCAGGGATTGCAAGCACAAACTTGGTTGTGGGATTGCTATCATGAAGAAGCACGGCTTCGTATATCTTGTTCATCAGGTTATGCACATTTGATTCGGATTCGGACCAACGGGGTCGAGCAAAATCAGCATCGAATACAAGTTGAGGAACATTTCTCGAGCAGTACCTCCATTGCGTTGACAGCGTAGCCGCTTTCGCTGCGTCTTTTAGGGGCAAGAACGCGACAATGTGATCTGCCAAGACCGCAGGGAGATTACTGATTCTGTCAGTACTACATGATTCGCTGAGACCCTTCATCCTGCACCAGAATTATGAATCAAAACGAGCTATTCATTACCAGATCAGAGAGACAAAACTAGTTATCAGCAAGTTCATCGGATGTCACGGAAAAAGTAAGAAAGGAAAAATGATGAATGAGAAAGTTGCAGACCTGTGAGGCCTGCGGCCAAGCTGCAGAAGCCAGAAAGCACCCCCGGTTCCAGAATCGGCAAGGGACAGGCAAGGCCGGTGTACGGAACTGTCTCAGTGATAAAAAAAAATGGCAGAATATTGTTTGTTGTTGATATGATTCCGATTTCCTCCGTTATGATCTTTTCTGTTCTTTGTATCGTTTCTGATACTCCTGTTAACTGATTGTGGTTATCCGTTGCTAAACCGAATCCCCTTGTTGTGGTGATGTAGCAGGGTTTTATTTTTAACATAAAAAACGAAAATCCTTGTCATGGAAACCAGACAGGTCTTGCCGGCCGGTCAGTAGAACCGCCATCTGATTGATGGAGTGGGTCAATTCATCTAGCAGTGAACCATGCGGTTTGTTAGGGGTCCGATGCTGAACCGTCGAAACCGCTTCAGTCTAAGTGGTTCAAAACCAGCAACCTCAAACATTAGAGCTCTGAGAACTTAGCAGGAACAAGAAACTAATTACTATATGGAATGTTATAGCCACTATGGAGAATTTGTAATGTACAACCATAGCGCTTCAACTCCGAAAACTACTGAAGGTAGGAACCATCTATGAAACTATCAGACATGCAATCAAGTAGAACATAACTCCACTTTGACCCTAGCTAACTAAACCTAGTAGCCTCCCTTCCCCTTCCTGGCCCAACTATTACAGAACCAAAAATTGTTTGCTGAGAAGGGCTTCCAGATCGGACTCGGACCGTAGGCTCGATCAGGGCACCTCTCCTTGATCATAATCAAAAAAGTTTCAGACCAGCTCCTCCACTCTTGTTTTTCTTTCACATCTGAATTGTACTAACAACTAGGCAGTTACTAAAAGCTTTGGGAAGCCATCTTCTATGTTCTCATACTCGCCATTCCAAGCATACAGTAACTTTGCCTTCTTGGAACCCCATTTACAGTACGAGACTCCCGTCATGAACTTGTGAGATTCATCGAAATTCATAGTCTTCGAAGTTGTAATAACAATCTCGTGAAGTAGTGGGGCACTAGCTAGCACAAGATTCACTAAGTCCAACTCGACTTGTGATCCATGGATTCCGTGTAAGGTAAACTCTTCCAGACTCTGAAAACAACTCCCGGATCCTTGAAGGTCCTCTGCTTCCAACAGACTCTTCAGGCTGTCAATCACATTTTCCTGGGGAATTCGTTCTCCATCATCAATCTACAAGAGGCATTTGTCAAAGAACAATCTCAGTGTACATACGCGGTATCGGAATATTTCAGTTCATCACACCAACAAAAACGAGACTAACTAACCTGAATGGTGAGTGTTTTCAAGTTGGGGGAACTCATGATCAGGCAAACGAGAACACGTGCCTCGGGCAAACTATGCAATACCAGATTATCCATTTCCAGGACTTCCAAGTGTTGAAGAGGAGTAGGAAGCCTCTTCGGGACATGATTGCCTGCAGCAAGTAACTGGAATACAGAACACCAAACACACAAGCATTCAGAAATAGAAACAACATAATTCCAAGTCAGAGAAGAGAACAGAAAAACTTACCAGCAGGAACTCAATGCCAATTCTCAACTGTTGAAGTGCAGGAATGGAAGAAACAAATACATCGACTATATTAATACTGTCCTGCTGAAACCTGTACATTCTATTGGACAAGTAGTCAGGGTAATCTTGAATGGACACCAGCGAAAGAACCGGGGTATACTTGAAGCGAATGGTCCACAAGATGATGCGTAAACAAAGCACTTTGAGACGAGGGGCCTCAATGTCAGGGCTATCTCTAAAACCCAGACAATCTATCATCCTCAATTCTTCAAGCAACGGGCACTTGCGAAGGAAACCAACAAAGAAATCCTCTTCCACTATCACGTTTACCAATTCGAGACAGGTGAGCTTGCTAAATCCTACAAACCCAGAAGGCGATAACAATTCGCAATTTTCCAGCTTCAGGGTATCGAGTTCAAGAGCAGCAAAGAGGGAAGCGAAGTTCCTGGTCTCATACACATAATCGAATCTATCAAATTCATCGAGAATCCGAAGGGTGATGTCCTGGATGCCTTTGTTGGCAAGGTAAAGAATCAAGTGATCGATCTCGTCGCCAGGCTTCAATCCAGGAACCGCAAGCACAAACTTGGTTGAAGGCTCGTTGTTGTGGAGAAGCACGGCTTTGTAAATCTTCATCACCAGAGCATTCACATTCGATGCAGTTTCGGCCCAACGGGTTCGGGCAAAATCAGCATCGAATACAAGTTGAGGCAGATTCCTCCAACGATACCTCCATTGCCTTGACCAGGTAGCCGTTTTTGCTGCTTCTTTTAAGGGCAACAGCATGAGGATTCGCTCGGCCAAGTAAGCAGGAAGGTTGCTAATCCTGTCGTTGTTACTACTAGACTCGCAAATAGGGTTCATTCTGTACGGGGGGAAATCCGAGCAAGTAAAGTTGATCACAGTCACAATTAGTCCATCAACAGTCGAGATTAACAAATAATTACGAGAAAGCAATTGAGGAGAGAAGGTTTCGGACCTGTAAGGATGAACTAAGCTCCGTATGTGCTGGAGAGGGATTTCAGGAAGTGCGCGCGGCGGAGGTTGGCGGTGAACGGAGGTTCCACGGGCGGCAGACGGAGCTGCCCAGGGCGACAATAGCTCTGGCAAATCGGCGGTCGAAACGGGCAGCGGTATGAGAGGCTCGCGAAGGCAACGGCGGTGGAAATTTTCAGGCCAGCGACAAACTAGGACTGATGGGGTTTGAGTAGATGACACAAATGACCTCTAAGCAATTTATTAGGCAGATTCTGTGAAAGCTGAATTAAGGGGTAAATTGAAAGTTTGGTCACTAGATTATAATTTTTTTTTCATGTTTGTCACTAAATTTTTTTAATTATAACGGCAGTCACTAACTTTACATTTTTTTTTTATTAATGACTAATCTCTGTCTAATTCTGTTATCTTTATTCTATATGACAGTTAATGTCATAATTATAAGGGTTAATACCTTGTTATGGCCTGAACTATGACCATGTAATCAACTTTGGCCAGTGGTTTGAGAAATTAACATCCTGGCCCGATCTATGCAGCATATTGACAAAATTGGCCTGGAGCGTGGTTTGACCGTTTGTTTGGACGGTCAACACCGTTGACCGTTAGTCAACTGTCCAGATCACTGCCATGTCAACAAAAAAAATTACAATTTCATTTTTCTTTTTATTTCATTTACAAAAATTGAATAATTAAAAAAAAAACAAAATCCAAAAATTTTGGCCCACCCATCCCCACCTTATCCCCTCACCTTCTTTCCTTTTCGATCAAACCCAACCCTATTTCATCTTCTTCCTCCTTCTTCCCCGACGAGCCGCCGCCTCCATTCTCTCCGACGAAAACAAATCCCTTCTTCCCCGACGACCCGCCGCCTCCATATCCGAAACAGATTTTTGGGCATCATCCTCTTCCCCTACTCGAACAAATATCCCCGAGTAAACAGAGCAAAACTAGAGTAAACAGAGGAAAGAAAGCATTTCACATATGAATGGTGATAGAGAAAGAACTCAGAAAGCCAATATCATCGAAATGTACCAGAGATAAGAGAACAAACGAGCAGTAAAGCAAAATAGCAAACTAACTTCCATTCAAGGGAGTGGAATCGCAAAAGAAGTGAAGGACGAAACTTGACCACGAGTCCACGACCCATATAGAAGCAAGTGACAATGGCAGTACAAACTGCGGGGGCGAAGAAAAAATGAAGGCGAAAAAGGGAACAGAGCTCGATTCACTTATGTTTGGTACGTAACGCAAGGGAAGGATTACCTGAACAATGGGGGCGAAAGGTTTTCAATTCCAGAACTCAAGGAGCGGGATGATTGGGAGTGAAGCAAATTACATAAAGGCCAAAGGACAGCGATTAGCTTACATCAGAGATATGAGTGGACGGAAGAAAAAGCGATGGGAGAGAGATCATATCACATCGGGATCAAGCAAAATTGGAATTGGTTGGTTCGGCAGACGGCAGGGAAGAAGAAACAGAGCAAGTCACAAGAGGAGTGGAATCGCAAATTGCCATGGCCTTCACTCTGGAAGCAATTTTTTTCTCTGTATTGCAATCCTCTTTGAACTGAAGCATCACAAAGGGATTTGTTTTCGTCGGAGGGAATGGAGGCGGCGGCTCGTCGTGGAAGAAGGAGGAAGAAGATGGAATAGGGTTGGGTTTGATCGAAAAGGAAAGAAGGTGAGGGGATAAGGTGGGGATGGGTGGGCCAAAATTTTTGGAATTTTTTTTTTTTTAATTATTCAATTTTTGTAAATGAAATAAAAAGAAAAATGAAATTGTAATTTTTTTTTGTTGACATGGCAGTGACCTGGACAGTTGACTAACGGTCAACGGTGTTGACCGTCCAAACAAACGGTCAAACCACGCTCCAGGCCAATTTTGTCAATATGCTACATAGATCGGGCCAGGATGTTAATTTCTCAAACCGCTGGCCAAAGTTGATTACATGGTCATAGTTCAGGCCATAACAAGGTATTAACCCTAGTTATAACTATTTGAGTCGTCACACAATGCATTGTCACAATGTCATTTGACATGCTAATCGAAAGTGAGCTTGTTGGAGTGCTAGTCTTCGAAGAAGAGGATAGTATTTGCGGAGTGCATCGTGCGTGGAGGTGACGATAAGGAGGAGGAGGAATATGAAAGCACAGAACAAAGACATTGTGGTTGCTCCGGTTGAGGAAAGACCAACGAAGAAGATTTGGTTATTGCTCCTTTTTAGCTTTTTGACTCTTTTCAATGGTTATTGGAAGGCATTTGGTACTAGATTTTAGTATTCTAGATACTTGAAGGGGATATCCCCTGCAGCAATGAACTAGAGACAACCAACCAACCAAACACACCCTGACTAAAGAGCCGAGGAAATCCAGGCTTAGAAATGAAACAATATAACAAAAAAATAGACAACTTCATACTTTTAGGAACTCAAAGCTGACATATACAACTGCTGGAGCGCTGTAAGAGAAGCAAATACAGCGATCATGTCTTTAGCCTTTGAATTCATTCAATTTGAAATCATGTCTTTAGCCTTGTTGAATTCATTCAATTTGCAACCACCAGGCTGCAACTGAATCGAAACAACCGAAAGAAGCGGAGTTCGCGAGAAGCTGATGTCCTCTACATACCCACTGTTATAAAGAAAAGAAACACTCTTAGAGGACGAACTTGGTTATCGGCCCATCATGAACCAGCAAAGCTTTGAAGATGTTCATCATCAACTGCACTTATGAGCCACACTTATGTGACGCAATTACAGCAACACAATTAACATTGCCAAATAATCACCATAAGAAAACTTTAATCTCTATCGATAAGATTTGTATCATAGGTCTACATATTAACACTTTGCAGCAGAAGCATTAAAATCTTCCTTTTGGACACCATGTTGAAACTTCCAGTAATGCAGCATCCGGTTCATCATAAACTTTGGTCCTTGTACTAGCACAAGCTTGCTGCAACTTTATATCTCTTGGGAACTTCAAAGGATGACAAAACTAGTCCTATCACTACAATAATTGAATTTGCTCCTAAATTACTGCTGCCCCTATGTTAAAGAACTGAAGATCTTCACATCTATACATGCCTTAAATAAAACTTGGAGTAATCATTAATCACAGGAAAGAAATTGCAAACAATCTGTGCTAAGTAACTAAAGCCTAAGACTATACAATTGAAGGTCTTCCGACCACCGTGACAGTGGGCATGACAAGTAACTAAAACCTATACCCAGAAGTGCAGAGCTCTTATGATCCAAAACAACGTATCAGGAATATATCACCTCTGCCTGGGTTGAAGCGCGCTTATATCGTACCACCTCCTCCAAAAATTTGAGGCGGTCTTCGCAACCCAATTGATCTGAAGCCTTAATAACAAGCTTTTGAAGCTGATGGGAAGTTTCAAACACAAACCTAACGAGTTCCAGCTCCGGCTGTGAGCCTGGACTGTTCTGAATGTAGACCTCCCGAAGACAGCTAATTTCTGAGTCTTCTTCACAGCACTCCTTTTCAATCGACATTGGTTCACAAAAGGCTGCCCTCTCCCCAGCTTTCATCTCCATGAAAATTTCAGATCAAAAGATGAATTTAAGTCAGTGCCAAAACAAGACAAAGCAAACTCAAAACTTCACGCGGTGCAATTTCCTTTTTGAGTTATAATACCTGAAGATCGAGTCTGTGCAATCTCAAGGAACTTCTGATTAGACAGAATATTACAGACGTCTCTAGCGGACCACCATAATGACCTCTGTATATTCCAAGGACTCGTAGATGGAGGGGACTAGGAAGCTTGACAGGGACATGATCGCTTGCAGCCAGGACCTACAAGGGATGATTAAAAACACACACAGCAGCAGCATTATGAATTGGTAGAGAAACAAATTGGCTTTGAGTGAAATAAATTGGGCCACAAAAAGGTGGGGGAAGAAGAAAAAAACTTACTTTCAAGAACTGGAAGTTAACAAGTAGCTGCTCAAGTGCTGGGAGAGAAGCAAATAAAGCTACCATATCAAGCTTCTTCCCCATATTAACATCAGCTTCACCATATGGCAGGATTGACACTTCTGAAAGAATTGGAGTACACTTGAACATAATGTTCACTGGATACCCAATAAAGAGAAAGACTTTGAGACATGGGGCTACAAGCTCAATCTCAGAAGCACCAGCACAGTACCAAAGGTACAAATCTTCGAGCAGGGGACATGCTGGCAGGAAGTTATGAAAGAAATCAGGGGGCAAAGTTACTGTATATAGTTGAAGAATCTTAAGGCAACTAAACCCTGCAAACCAAGACGGTGTAACAATTTTACCACCCTCCAGTATCAGTGAACTCAATTGAACAGCAGAAAACAAAGAAGAATGAATCCTGCGATCAGATGGATAATCCCCGCTCTCTTCGCCAAAGAGAAGCTCAAGTTTCTTGACGCCTTTGTTTGCAAGGTGGTGAACTATGTGGTCAATCTCATCGCAGGGGCTCAATCCAGGAATTGCAAGCACAAATTTGGCAATCGGACCATCATGAAGCAATAGCGCTTTGTAAATATCCATCAGTATCTTTTTCGCCTTTAACTTTGATCCGCCTCGTTCAGTGATTCGAGCGAAACTATCATCAAACACAAGTCGCGGAATGTTCCTCCAAAGAATGCTCCATTTTCTCGACAACATGGCTGTCTTCGCCGCGTCTTTTATGGGCAGGAACTTGAGAATCCGTTCTATTACATGGTCAGGAAGCATGCCGAGTCTATCAGCCATGCGAAGCTGCTTCAACTGACCTATATACCAGGAAAAAAGATCAACAATACGGAATCATCCAGAGACCACAACCTAGCTAGTGATCAATAGATCTACATCACATAATGACCCAGAACACCATGGATTAATTGAACTTTTGGAAGCTAGCTAAACAATGTTCGCTAATTTTGTTTGTGCGACAGTAAGTCAGTATAGGGTATTGCTCATTACTTATGATGGTTTAGGGTTCGATCCATGGATAATAAAGTTTCAAACTTTATTGATTCTGAATGCCATCTAGCCTATTAAACCATCAACATATCGTATAGAAAGAGTTACCAGAACCACCCAGAGACATGAAAATGTCCTGTATCTGAGTGCTTCTTCCGCCCCAAACAACCTCTGTACAGCGAGAACGGGAAAACCCAAGATTAAATTTCGGCCACAGAAGCTTTTTGCCTCCAATTTCATGGGAATTCCCCTGGAAACCAAGGGATAAGTAACATGATTGAGTTACAAGCAGCTGGAGAAGGCGAAATAAACTATTATGAAAGAAGAAGAAAAATGGAATTTGAACCTTTGAGGAGAGTAAGAGAGCTAGTCGGTAGCTTGGAGCATTCGATCGAATATGCCAGGGTTGTGATTACAAGTGATCGAGTATTAATCGGTGGTCGGAAAACACTTGCCGGCTAGTTGCTCGATCTGCAGTTTTCTCCGATGCGGAGAGGAACCCTAATTAACATCTCTGTTCTTGAAACATGGAAGAAGGCGGAGAAAAGGGCGGCAAAATGATAACCCACCGAGTCCGGGAAGGGAAAATACTAGCCCAAGTCTCTAAATATGTTGTCCTACATTAAATTGGTCACAATATTGTTGGTGATTTCGAAAATCGTCAGTTTTAATTTAAATTTAGCTGATTCGTGTTTAAATTTTTAGTTTAGTTTTAAATTGGTCCCATAGGCCATAGTATTGGGTGCCTTAAAGAAAAACAATATTATTTTTTTGTTATGAAATAAACAAAAAGATGAAAACACCTTCAATGAAGATGTAATTTGGTTCAATGCAGTTAATGAGATGGTTAATATAATTTTTTTTTTTTACAATCGTCTGAATTTAAATAAAACTATTTGGACCTAAATCAATAGAGTTTACCTAAATTGAACCCAATTCAAATCCTAGCTCATCAAACCCAAAACCAATAAAGTGCATATGGTTGGTTGGTTTGTTTGATTGATTTAAGTGGGATCTAAATTTTTTTTTTTTTTATGGATTTATAATAACCCAATGTTTTACATGATAAAAAGTGGGTATTAAATTTGTGAAGTCGATGGTTATGAATTTTGTTTTATTTTGGATTGCAAATTTGTGTGACAATCCTACGGATTTTCAGATTTCATGCATACTGTTGTCAAATAGTAATGAAATGATCTCAATGTATAAGCTCGGTAACAAAAAGATTATAGATGTTCAAGTAGTAATGAAATAGTCACATAAGTATACTAAAGATCAAATATCAGTCTTCCTATCAATGTCATAATTTTTTAAGGTTAAAAAATATATCAATCTTGGAATTTGAACCATGATCTATTTATGATCAATATAATAATTAAGATGAAATAACCTTCTACTCTTTTTGAATCCGCATGTATCTTTTTTGTTTCAATTCGGATTTCAAAATAATTCGCACAACAAAATTATATTTTACAAAATGATAGTATACATTTTGATAAATTTTGGAGGAAAAAAAAACATTTTGGAACGTTACTCCATGGTATATCTCCGTAATAGTATACTATAATTTATGTATCATCACATGGTATAAGACGCCCCGCTCGATCAAATGACATGATTTCCCCCCAAATAAAATATACTCAAATGAATGTTTCTCATAATTAATTAAATTATTTTATGCAAAAAATGGAAACCCAAATTATAACAAAAGATTAAACAGAAGAAGAAAAAACTCTTAATAGGAAGAGTGATCATAATGTGCTAGTTATCATGTTCAGTATAATAAACCCTAAACATAATGAACAGACGAAAATCCTCTCTTTCCCGATCCCTAATAAATCCATGCACCGCTGATCTTAATTAACCAGCTATATATAATCAACCTCGATGGTTAGGCACAGAAGAACGACTTCGTGCGGCATAATGAGAATCGAGTTGGTGTACGAGGTTGGCCGTCAGGATTTTGTTGGCGGCCTCGCTGGGATGGATGCTGTCGAAGAAAACATACTTCGCCGACAAATCTCCGCACGTTGGCGTCAACGGCGTGCAGAGGAACGCACCTTCCAGTAGCCCGCTGCCGCAGCACCCTCTCTTCGCTTCCACAAACCCTGTACACGTCATTCGCCAATGGATTTTTTTTTATTTTATTTATACATTGATCATTCATCATCATTTTCTTCTACGTAAGTACGTATTTATATTGCATGCATGCATGCATGTGATTTAGGGTTTTACGTACGTACCGTATCTCTGGGGCTGGCTGACCATGTCGAGGATCGGATCGAAAACATCTGCGTAGGCGATTACGCTGTCGGGAAGTGAAGCTTCCAATCTGTGGAGCAGCGTTTTGAGCTTTTCGTTGTAGGCTCGGGAGTCGGCGTTTTGGGATTGGATGCACTGTCTGGCTTCCAGCGGGAGGAACTGTAGAGCTGCGGACATTTGAATCGGCAGGCACCCGATCGGTGGAAGCCCTGCTATGAACAGTGTTCGGCCTCCCGCAGCATACACGTCCTGTAAAAATTGTAATGGTTAAGAAATAATTACCAAATCATTTTAATCTCAATATACGAAGACCTTAGGATTTGTAGCTAATCGTCTAATCTTTAAAAAAGATAACTCGATCGTAACAAAATCGCAGTGACAAAACATTTCGCTTAAGTCCTAAGCAGACAATTAGACGTTCGTATCGCCTATGTATAGATTAGCGTGATGTGTGAATAATTAAAGTGGGATGTTCTTAAACGTGGTGTCAGACCAAGGATTAAGGAAAAAATTGAGCTAATCTTTCAAAATGACTTCTCTAATCAACCCAACCCTCTGTCCTACTCTACATCATCGTAGATCTAGGAAATCATGACATATTTTGCTTGTTGTTGAGAGTTATCTAATCTACTAAACATTTGAAATTGAACTAAAAGTATAAAAAAACAAGTTATAAAAGTGTAATTTAAACTAAAATCACTATTTTTGCTTAGAACGTCTAGACACCTTTCCTAGCCGTCGCTTATGATTGGTAGACACTAGGCAGAGTCCCAACGCTTACCTAGTGATGTTTTGCAACCTGTTTATTTTTTTTAAAAAAAAGTGATAGTTGGATCGGAAACCATAATAAGAGTTTTACCTTAACGAATTTCTCCACTCTTTGCAGCAAAAAATCCTGATAACCGCTCATGTTGAACTGCAACCTCCTGGTGGGCAAATTATAATAATTGTCCGAAAAATCATTCGTCCCGGCGCTAACAAGTATCAACGCCCCGCCGACCGTCTCCTCCGCCACGTCGTCGCCGAAATCCCTCCTCAGCCGGACAACATACTCCTCGAACATCTCGACCTGCCTTCCCATCGAAACGGAGAAAGTCAGCTCCGGCGTCTGCTCGTCGTACCCGCTACCGGAGGAAGCGAACGCGACTCCGGTCCGGAGCTCGCCGGCGGGGAGTTGAGGGTCGAGGTACGGCGGGACCGCCGGCTTGATCGCCAGGCGGCTGGCGATCAGGTCGGGGATGAGCCTCCCGTCGGAGAACCTTCCGGTGGGGGTCTCGGAAGGGAAGTTCTCGCCGTAGGGGAGGTGGTCGGCTTTGAAGACGGCGGTGGTGATGTAGTTGTTGTTGCCCGTGTCGACGGTTGAGTCGCCGAAGATGATGGCCGCGGTGAATTTGGGGAGGTGGGTTGGTGGCGGCGGTGGTGGTCTTGCGGCGGCTGGGGTGGCGGTGATCACGAGGATGGTGATGAGTGCCACGGCGGCCGCCGTGATACGGCCGGGTAAGGGGAACGCCGGCGGCGGCATGTTTGTGTGGTACGTATTGGCTAGTAATTTGGTATTTGTTTTGTTTGTGTGTTGGAAGTATATATGTTTTAGGGTTTTATGTTGCATTTATTATTTGTACAAAAAAAAAATTAGATAGGTTGAGATTCGTGGGATTATAGGGAACGTGGTGTGTGTGTCATGAAGTGTTTTGGGTTTAGAATACAACAAATTATCAAATTCTGAATCTATCTGTATAATGATCTCTCAGGTTCGATTGTTTAGTGAAAACAGCGCTAATTTCTGGATAGTTTAGACAAATTAATACGAATTGTTTTTAAATTGTTATGTAGTGGGTCTCCATTAGTCTAGGTAGGTAGCAGTACGGATCACAATAATTATAACCAAAAAATAAAAAAGAAGATAACCTTTAGCGACGGCCATCAATAGCAACACCATCATACGTACTAAGGAGTAGGGGTGGGAATAATTATAACCAATAATATTATTAAAAACTATTCTTTATCCTCCACTTTTGAAGTATATGGTCAGACTATAGTGCAGTTCGAAAATATGATGAATATTCTATATTATAAGAAACAACATTTTTTCATGTAAAAATAGGATGCGGGTCAGACGGGTGACCCGCAATTCACCCACCACCCACCCACATAAGTGCGGGTGGGAGATTTATCAATTCGCAATCCACTCACATGAATCACCCACTGCATGCGGGTCGAATTATTTGTGGGTGGATTGATATCAATCTGCGGATTAAACACCCACGTGCCCACCCCTACTAAGGAGTAAGGATGACATGTTTGTTAGTTTACAATAACAGAGCAGAATATAATGTTATTAATTGTTTGACAAAAGAAAAGACAAAATAAGACACGAATTTATGAATAGAATAATGGTGGTTAAGTAAGTTAGATGTAGATATATGAGTGTGGTACGGGATGGATTCTCGTCACAACCAAGTGTAATTTGGGTATTGCAAAAGAATATTTAATTAATTAATTTTTTTACTAAGGAAATAGAAATCCTATTAAAAACAATTTTAATTTAAATCCTACATAAAAAAACATTTGTCTCTCTCTATCTCTTTCTTTTACTGATTTCCATTAGGGGTGTTCAAATGGTTACTATGGTAATAACCAAACCAATTAATCCTAAATTTCATTAACCATGGAATAAAATGTCTTAACAAAACCGTCTAATTTAACAGGAAAACCAAATTAACCAAACCAAAGTTTAATTGGTTTGGTTAATCGGATTAACCAAGTAACATAACATTACATGAAAACAATTATCATGTTAATGAATAAAACATAACCATATGTTATTACTATCATAAACTATCATTATGTTAATGAATAAAACTTAACCATATGTTATTACTATCATAAACTATCATTATATATAAGCAATAATAATCCCTATTAAGCTAAGCAATTAGTCTCACAGTAAGACTAATCATTCATGATTATCATCATCATTCGAGTTAATACATCATTCATCATCTCTACACCTAACATAAATATTAAATACATACCAATACCACTCATCAGGAAGTTAAAGCTCTCCTACAAAACACTTAAACTATACATAATTTGGGGTGGCTGTCATGGTATTGTATGTAATCCTAAAGTCTAGTAGCTGTCCAAAATGTTTTGGTTTAGTAAATAGGCAGGCTCATTTAATTTTTGACCCATAATGTTTTGGTTTGTTGTGCACATGGAAATAAAATAGGGAATCACGAAAGTTTGTTTTGGTTGGTTGCATACTTGCATGGAAGTATAAATAATTTTGTATATTAGGTGTATCATTAATTGGTTAATTGGTTTCATTGGTTAGCAGTGTTGAAACCAAACCAAACCACTTAAACTAAATAAGCTAAATTGTATAACCAAACCAAACCAATTATCCAAATTAACTGGATGCTACCGATTAATATGGAAACCATGGTAACCAATCCGTTTGAACACCCTAATTTCCATCTTAGAGATATGAGTGGGTGATATAGTAGACTATCTAAATACTTTGGTATGGGCCTGCAAGAATTTGAGCCCAATAAGACCATCGTCCCTTTTCATCCACGGACACAAGTGAACCATTCCAGTTCAAACCTCACGAGATTCAAGTAAATTTTTGGTTGAAAACATTTCGACTTTGGCTAGCTAGTAATCAGAATACTGTAGTAACGAAGCCACAATATTGCCTTACAGAAAATAAGACTTAGCCTAGACGCGAATACGCGAGACTTGGCTTCAACTTCTGATTGGCAAACACTACAACACTTGCCCTTTAGCTGGATACATATATGCAGATAATGCAGTGGCCAAATGAACATTGTTTCCTATGTTTAAAACTACAAATGCAAACTCCACAATCAGCTGAATAGTGATAGGCAAGCAAAAAACAGTCACAAGGCCTGCACAACAACAAGGTGCCATCAAAAGTACTTTCCATTGCACAACATATAAGAGAGATTACATATATTGATCAAGAAAAAATGGCTACTGAAACTAGGGTGGGATCACTTGATTTTGATTTGTGCTTTGCTGGAGGCCCGCTGAAACTCATTCAACGCTTTTAGAGTCCGAATCTGTTCACTAGGTAGTGAATTTGCTGAGAACGTTATCTCCATCTTGTCAAGCGCGGGTGAAGCGGATAGTAACCATCGGAGGAAACACATTTCGGATATTAAACCCTGCAACTGATTCAATTCAACTTTCTCCAGCCTACTTGGTTTGTACGTCCTGCTTTCACACAGCAGCTGTATGAGTCTCACCTCGACGTCTACACACGGGCTTGGCTTTATCACGGTCTGCAATTCCGAATCAAAGAATACTAGTAAGCAGCAAAAAACTGCCTTTATTTTCCCACTATTCTGGGTAGCTTACATTCCCAATGAAATCCTCAAGCCAGAATACTACATCCAGCAAAATTCAGTATGTTTTTTTTTTCTTCTGTGAACATCAGTAGTTAACGCGCACAAAATAGAGAAAGAGAGGGACACACACAAACAAAGAGAGGAGTTGAAGATCTTACATCGATGATGAGTTCTTGCAAGTTAGGGGAGTGTTCCATTAACAAAAGACAAGCCAAGACATCCCTCAGATTGCTGCAACACATTTCACCCATCCTGAGTTGCTTAAGCATCATTAGCTTTGCTAATGGTTGAGCCATCATCTTTGAAGCTGGCAAATCCTGTAATGCCCAATGAGTTAGTTAATGCAAGAAACAGTTGTGCCAACTCAAAACATCGAAGAATATGGGTCAAGACAGCAGTAGTATATTTACCTTGAACAGCCCCATTGTTATAGATAGCCGCTCAACTGCTGGACAACCACCGCATAATTTAGTGCAATTAGAGGGATCATCTGTGCCCATAGGATGAGCAACAAAGCTTGCAGTCTGATAGATGGTCACATCTTTGAGAAGTGGAGCCTCCTTGACCCGCAGAGAGCTGAAGCTCCCCGCACAATGGAAACGGCTGAGGCTGGGTGCTTCAATCAGTATGTCGAGACGGTTGAATGCACTGCCACAATCTACCATAATCAAAACCGACAGCAATGGGCATCTAACGACGAGAGAAACCCCAGCAACATCCGGGAACTTGGTTGATCTAAGATCAAGACAAGTAAGCACGCTGAATTGATCGAACGAAATTTGAGAGGATGTGAACCCGCAGGCAAACAACTTCAACTTCTTGAGCTGCCTGAATGAGAAGAGACGACTAGGCAGCTTGTAACCATCGATCTCAATGCACAACCTCTCGATACATTTCTCGTGCAAGGAAAGCAAGATCTGATCAACAAGAGCAGGGTAGCTGCTCAGTTGAGGGATAGAAAGAGAGAACTCCTTCAAGGGTCCCTTGTGGTAACAGAGAACTCTAAACACATCCAGCACGAGTCTGTTGATCCTATTAGGATCGACCACATAAACCCCCTCATGCTGAGCAGATGTCTCGAAAACTGGAAATGACGTCCAGAAACGGTCATCGAATATGAGTGATGGACGATTCACCCATTTGTTCCTCCAGGCAGTTGACAAGATACTGGTCTTAACTGCTTCTCGTAATGGAATAAAGGTCAAGATGTGCTCAATTATACTCTGCGGCAGAGAACTGATTCTATCGCCATCATTGCCACTATCACGCCTACAGACATTTTTGTTCTCTGGACCAGGAACATCCTACGGGCAACACATAAGGCATGGAATCATATAAAAACATACAGCACAGCGAAGACCATGGATCCCTAGGGTTTCTTTTCGGCAGAAAAGCAAATCATATCAATTCTCAAGATCATTGAAATCCCAAGACCACAATAGGGGAAAGAAAGAGCGACTCACCATAGTCGTCAATGGCTCTCTTCTTGTAAACTTTCTGTTGAATATTGGTGCAGTCGCTTCGTTACTGCCACTCCCCGTCCCGGCTGAACTCTAAGACCATCACAATGGAGTTCTAAAATGTCAAAAAGTGGTAAAATCCTCCTTGGAATTATAAAAGTCCCAAAAAGTAAATAAGAAAATATAATTCCCAAAAAGTAAATAAAAAAACGTTTAATTTGGAGCGAGATTTGGCCAAGACAAGAAGGTTCTAGACTAGTGGGACCCGTAGAGAGCAGAGCAAGCCGAGCAACACACCGAGGAGGCGTCTGGGGCGCACGCTCAGGTGTGATTGGTTGCCTTCCCACGAGCGAGTGTCGTACACGCTCCCTTCTCACAGTCTTTCCGTGTATGCGGGCAGGTGTTCGCCTTTTAGTTCAGATTGTCATACATTCATCAGAATAGTTTGAAATTTAGATAGGTGAAACATGATAAATGTTGATTACAAATTTGTAAATACTGATCTTATATTAGTAAGAATTAGGTGAGTTAAATGTAATAACCATAATTAAACAATTTCGATAATTTTCCGTTTAAGAAATTAGATAAAAAAAGGTTGTACAAAAGAAGTGAGTTAAGATTAAAAATACATTAGGTTAATTTTTGGTCATGTACTATGTTCAAGTACAATGCTTCCGGTTATGAACAACTACGTTCAGGATTGTTTTGTTAACTTCAAATAGTTAATTTTCCCAGTAAATGGTTTGTTCTGCTTTTATTGGGTCATTTTTATTTACCACACCAATTGATTTGAGACTCAATTCAACTAAATGTGGTGGATTTGGTATGAATGTATTATTTGGTTGTACTGAAATGATGATGCACTGTGGCAATCATTGATTGTGGAATATAAGACTTCATTGATTTTGGAATTTTGGAATGATCACCTGGAATAAGGTGGTATCCTTCAACCTCTCCAGTCTCCACTGTGAAACCCGTTTGCTCCTGCTCGAGTTTGAAAGTGGCAGTCTTGCAAGCTGTCATGGTTGAGCCTTGCATATAAAAACTGTAAATCATGAACGAAAGAGCACTCAGTTCCAGTCTTCAATGATAATACCTCTAATCATAAGAAAGAAAACAAGAGTGACCTGGGCATGCGCACACTCTCCAAGACATTTGGAACATATTATGCACAAGTCAATCCAACAGAAAAGACAGCACAGAAATGGCTTCAAATTCCTTGAAGAAGAATGAGGGAGCATGTTCATTTATCAAGGTGATACTATGATTTGAACATGTCAATCATTTACAGAACAAGTTCGAGACCTCAAAGTACTCTATGCATCAAGTATTTTAAGAAGAACAATGGCTACTGAAAACCAGGGTGGCTATATTATGATTTGAGCTTTGCTGGAGGCCCGCTGAAACCCATTCAGATCCCTCAGAGTCTGAACCTGGTCGGCAGGTAGTGAATTAGGAGAAAACTTGATCTCCATCTTGTGAAGCTCAGGTGAAGCAGCTAATAACCATTGAATGCAACACATCTCTGTCCTTACACCCTGCAACTGATTGATCTCCACTTTCAACAGCTTGCTTGCTTTGTGTTTATTGAGTCCACACACCCTCTGTATGGCAGATATCAGGTTGAGATCTATGTACTGGGTTGCCATTGCCTTGGTCTGGAATTCCAAGCAAAGAATAACAGTAAGAAGGCAGTTGCTTTTTTTTCTTCTTCGCATTCTCTAACAAAAGCTAGACACAGGGTAGCTTACAATCAAGTTAAAATCCACTAGCCAAAAGTTACATCCTCAATCAAGGATCAAAGGTGGAAACCACCCAATTATTGTAAACTTATCTAGTTCAGCAAAATTCAACTTGTTTTTCTTTCTGTGGACTTCAGTATTTAACGCACACAACACATACAGAGAGAGGGGCTGAGAATCTCACAGTGATGATGAGGTTTCGCAAGTTTGGGGCAAGTATGATTAAGAGCATACTACACCAGACATCCCTCGGACAGCTGAGACACACATCACCCAACCTTAGTTCCCTTAGCATCATTAACATAAATATTTGACCCGGTTGAGTAATAAGATTTTGAGTTGCCAAGTCCTGCAATTCCCAAGCAAGATAATGTAAGAAATAGCTCCAGTTACTCAAAACATCCAAGATGATAATAGTAGTATATTTACCCTGAAGAGCTCAAGCGCTATACATAGTTGCTCTAGTGCTGGACAACCACCACATAATTTCATGAAATTAGTGGGTTCATCTTTGCTCTTAGAAGGATCAACTAACCTTGCAGTCTGATGGACAATAACATCTTTGAGATGGGGAGCATACTTGACACACACAGAGCTGAAGTTCCCCACGCAATGGAAATAGCTAAGGCTGGGTGCTTCACTCAGTATATCAAGATAGGTGCCATTAGCGGTGTCACAAGCTATCAGAGTGAAAGTTAAAAGCAATGGGCATCTGATGATGAAAGAAACCCGCGCAGCATTTGGGAATTTGATCCATCTAAGATCAAGGCTAGTAAGCATTCTGAATTCCTCGAACGAAATTTGAGAGGAAGTGAACGCGCAGGCATACAGACGCAACTTCTTGAGCTGCCTGAATGAGAAGAGACAACGAGGAACCTTGTATTCATTGATCCAAATGAATAAGCTCTCAATAAATTTATCGTATAAGGAAAGCAAAATCTGATCAACATAAGCCGGGAAGGTACTCAGTTGAGGGATAGAAAGAGAGAACTCCTTCAAGGGTCCCCTATGGTGGCAGAGAACTGTGAACACATTCAACATCAGTTTTTCGATGGTAATAGGATAGACCCCATTACTACCGACATACTTATTAGCAGCCACCTCAACTGGGTATGGTTTCCAGAACTGGTCATCGAATACAACCGATGGACGATTCACCCATGTGCGCCTCCAGGCAGTTGACAGGACACTGGTCTTGGCCGCTTCTCGTAATGGAAGAAAGGTCAAGATGTGCTCAATCAGATTGTTTGGCAGAGAACTGATTTTATCTCCATCATCGCCACTTCCTTCTCTGCAAATAGTTTTATTCCTGGGACCAGGAACATCCTATGGACAGCAGAAGACAAGGGAATCGTATCAAACATCAGCCACACTGGAAATACCACAAGAGGGTAAGGAAACCAGAAATAGCCTGCATAACTAGGGTTTTAGCTAAATGCTTTTGAGTCTTTTTGAAATGACAAATCCCCAATACCAAGCACAATCAATAGAGTAAAAGAGTGACTAATAAAGAATCAAGCTTTGGATCCGATGATGGGAATTTCATGAACAAAGTTATCGCTGCAAGGGTTCCCCTCATCTTTCCTCGACATGGGTCATTAGGGAAACTGATTATGTTGAGTTCCGATGAAAAGGATTAAGATTCCGACGATAGATTGGTAAAGAAAACCAAGAAGACCGACTCACCATCGTTCTCAAAGACTCTCCGGTTGGATGTTGTTACTTCCCGCTAGTCGCCGTGCCTGCTGAACTATACGCATTGGTGATCAGAGCCTCGGAGTCGGAAGCCTTTCCGTTTCCGTTTCATAATACGAACCGTTAAAAATGCAGTATTGGTCCCAGTATTTACAAACTTCTCATATTCGCCATTGATATTGTTTCTAATTTCTATAACAAAATAACAAAAAAAAATTGGAAGTACAAAATAACCATTGACTTTACGTGTTTTTTTTTTACAATGATAACCAACTTTTATTCCACCAATCGAAATAAAACAGGAAACCCGGTTACAATTTTAAAGAAGATAAGAGAAATGAGGTCAAGAATATTAATCCAATCATCCGGTAGCGATGCTCTCGCTTTTGATTGTGCAACCCAATCTGCTCTTGCGTTGAGTGCCCTGTGCACCTCCTTGATTCGAATGAGAGGGTTTGTCCAAAGGATAGAGTTAATCGAACCGATCCACGCTGCACACCTCCACGGCCATCGAGATTGATCATGATTCAACACTTTAACCAGAACCTGACAATCTAGTTGGACTGTACACTCGGAACCATATTCTTTAGTTAATTTCACTCCTTCCAGAAGGGCCTTAGTTTCTGCTTCAATCGGGGTGGAACAAAGAATATCCTCAGCTCGCCCATCATACACTTGTCCATGGTGGTTAACAACCACAACACCATTTGTCGTCGGCCGGGAGTCGCTAATGAACGACCCATCACAGTGAATCACCAAAGAATGATTATTTGGCTGTGGATTCATATGAGACTGGGTTTAGGGATGACAATTTCGACCTGACCCGTTTTACCCGACCTGTTTGACATGTTTTGGGGCGGGTCCGACCCGCCCCGTAGGCGGGGCGGGGCGGGCATGGGTAGTTTCATCGACCCGACCTGCCCTGACCCGCCCCATTCTCGACCCGTTCTTGTCTAAATTACATGAAATCTTAGTCAAATTACTTTGAATTTTCCTTTTATTGCATCATATTTTAGCTATAATAAAGTTGTAAATTAGTGAAAACCTCAATTTCTCCAATAATTTAACTACAATTGTCATAATATTGTTTGTTTTCTTAGTTTTATAATAAAAATAACGAATATTTCTAATATTTTTCATATAAATTGCATACCCATTGGGTCGACCTGCCCCGACCCTCGACCCGTGATCAATTACCCGACCTGGACCCGCCCTGCCACGGGGCGGGTCTGGGTACCAAGAAACCCGCCCCGGACCTGCCCCATTGCCATTCCTGTCTGGGTTCCCCTAAGTTGAGAGGGAAGGGAAGGCATGGGAGGTGGGGACCTCGGGCAAGAATTCCATTCATTGAGCTCTTTATAAGTTTGCTGGCACACATTCGGAGGCCATGGTAATATGTTCTTGAAGGAGCATTCGTTCCTAGCCTTCCAAATATTTCATCAAAGTAACACAACATGGATCAAAGAGCTATGATGAACAACATCTTTGAGAGAATAGAACCAATCTAGGAAGAGGGTTCCCTGAGGATGTAACGGGAGAGATGAGAAAAGAGCATTCCATGCTACATTGGCATGAGGGCAATGGAATAGGCAATGACTGATGCACTCAACGGGGTTTTGGCACACTTGACAGGTCGAATTAGGAGCACATTTCCGCTGAAGAAGTCTCTCTTTCGTTGCTAACCCATTCCTAGAGCACCTCCAAATAAAGAATTTCAGCTTCGAGGGAAGGTGAAGGCTCCAAATCCACTTCCTAACTTTCATCATTCCTGCTTGGTTGAGGATTGGTGTTAGCTCTGTGAATTGTATGGTAAGCAGACTTCACTGTGAATCTTTACTCTTCAGTGAAATTCCATGCCCAAAAGTCGTCTGCTCCTTCTTCCCCAATAAGAATCCTCATAATTGCTTCAAGTTTTGAGCAAGAAACATGACCCTGGATAACATCCTGTGTCTTCACCTGAGCCAATCACTCTAACCGGTCCCATACAAATAACTTTTCTTGCCTCCCAGAGACCGGCCCAAATCCAGGATGCTTTGCTTCCCCTTTTTTGCATTAAGAAAATAACCTCTTGGGAAGTACAGACCCTTAAGGAGACGGCTCCAAAGGGAATCAGGGGACGTGAGAAGGCGTCACACCTCCTTAGCCAGCAGGGCAATGTTAAAATCGTTGAAACTCCTGAATCTCAAGCCTCCCTCTGACTTAGGCATACATAGAATCTCCTTCCTACACCAATGAACGAGAATGGATTCTCTCCGTAGTACTTTACGTGTTCGATTCATCAAATTGTTATTGTTCATTCATTTTTTACGTGATACTAACTCTCAAGTTTGGTTAATTAAATAATATATCAATTAAAAGTTAATAAGAAACTAAAATTTAATGTATTTTTACAACTTTCCAACTCATCAGACCACGAATTCCAGTTGTATATTAGATAAGCATGGGTAAATGCCACATTTGGTCACTGAGATTAATAAATCATGTAATGTTTAGTCACTAGAAAAAAATAATATTAATTTTGGTCACTCGAATTACTGAAATATGTCACATTTAGTCACCCTTCGTTAATTTCCGTCCAACTCCTTAAATGTGACATGTTTTGGTAATTCGAGTGACATTCATAAAAAAAGAGTAATTCGAATAACCGGAGTTGGACGAAGGCTAACGGGAGAGTGACTAAATGTGACATGTTTTAGTAATTCGAGTGACCAAAATTGATATTAATTTTTCTAATGACTAAACATAACACGATTTAGTAATCTCAGTGACCAAATGTGGTATTTACCCGATAAACATGAAAGAAAGGAAGTTGTATAGTCAATGAAAACAATACAATTTGACAAGGTTCTATGGGTTTGAAGTGAACGTTTCAGTTTCCGGCTTGCTTGACCCTTCCCCTATGTTTGGCAAAATAGGGGTGCAAGTTGAGGTGCAAAGTGAAGGTGATGCAAATTGGAAGAGGGTGTAAGTGGAGGGGTAAATTGTTGTTTGAAATAATAAAGTAGGGAGTGCAAATAAGCTGAAAAGTAAATAAGTTATATTATTATAAAATTAATTTATTAAAATTGTAGAATATTATCACAAAATATTCATAATAAATAAATATTAAATAAAAAAATACAAATTTATATATTAATCATATATTAATAAAAATTTATTAAGATGGGAGTGCTCAAACAATAATTATTTATAAAAAAATAGTAAATAATATTATTAGGCCCATAAAAATCATCATTGGTCAAACAATATCGAGGATAATGAGTAGACTCGAACCCTAATTAGTGGCCAAGACATAAACTAGCTCATATCCCCCCACGACCATTGATTTTTCGACATTGTGGTATCAAATCGAATCTATAAGTTTCAACTATTAACCAGGCAAATTGAGTCAACAATTGGAGCCAATTTGACAAAAATATCCTAAACTCAATGACACATTCGGAGTAAACCCAAAAGTAAATAATGGGTAGTTATCATAAATGGTCACAAATCTATTTACTTTGTACAAAACGGTCACAATCCTTTAATTTTGCACGCTTCGGTAATAAAAGTTTGAACGAATAACGAAATGGTAAATCCGTCCAATTCCGTTCCAAATTCCGTCCTAGATCGCCCCGTCAGCATGACACGTCAGTGTAAATATTAATTAAAAAATAATTAATCGGCCGATTAACCCGAAAGTCCAACCGGTCGGAACAAACCCTTTACCCATCACCCCATTGGCCCCTGAACGCGATCCTTAATTTCCCCGGCCAAATCTCGGCTAAACCCTCGCGCTCCAATCTCTCGCCGCAGTCGTTGATTTCCTTCAGACGACACTGCGGGGTGTCGGTACGAGCCTCCACCTCAAGCTTAGGCAACAATAACTCTTACGAGAGCAAGAATGGCACAAAGGCATTGGAGTTGAAGGTGGGGGATGAAGCTGTTCCCGTTGCCTGCGATGTGCTCTATAATGATTGGGATCCAGAGTGTTCGCTTCCAACTAGGGATTTGAACGAGTTCAATTCTCTTTTATTTGCTATTATATTTCCGTTGGAGAGGGGAGGAGATGGCGGCGATGGGGAGGCAGTGCTGGAGTCGCCGGAATCGATGGCGGAACCAATGGGGTGGGTATAAAATTAGGGTTTTCAGTTGGGTTATCAGTTCAATTGGGTTTGCTCATTTATTTTTTATTAATATTTTAAATGATGGGGCGTGCTGACTAGACAAAAGTAACGATTTTTTGGATGGAGATGGACGGATTTACCATTTCGTTATTCGCTTAAACCTTTATTACCGAAACGTGCAAAATTAAAGGTTTGTGACCATTTTATACAAAATGAATAGTTTTGTGACCATTTATGATAATTACCCAGTAAATAATAATTATTATTTAATCGTCGTTAATGGTTATTCTTACTACCATAATATATTAATAATAACAATTATTATTATATAATTACATGACATTCTTAATATTTTTATCTAATACCCCTCTCCTTCTCTTTCTCTCTCCATTTGCACTCCAAATTAGGGGTTGATGGAAATAGTGAACTTACCCCCAATTGCACCCTTCGGCCCTCAACACTATTCCTAATTATCAAAATGGGGATAAATGCATTGGAAAATGGCAAAATGCACTTACCCCAAACTTGCACCTCTCTCCCATTTACCCTACATCCCAAACATAGTGTTCATGTCTTTTTTTTTTTTTTTTAAGTTTTCTTTTTTCAATATTTAGGAAGTAGTTAAAACTTAAAAGTTAAACACAACTTTAGAATGAATGCTAATTTTGGCGGCAGTCTGAGGAAGATGTAAGTAAGTGAGTTTGTTTTTACATAAACTTAAATTTGGGGAAAATATTGAGAAAAGAAAAGTGGAAACAAACACACCAAAAAAAAAAATTATTAGTAATTAATTAGTAAATTTTAACTCACTCACACAAATACATTTTTTCCCTTTGAATCACAAAGACATTTTTGTGTCACTCTATGAGCAAATAGTTTCATTATTCGAGAAATCATGATAATAAAAAACATAGGTGAGTGGGAATAGTACCAATCTTCCAACAATGTAAAGCTATCTTGAAGTTAACATCAACGGGACCTATAATGATTGATGAGTCATCCTCAACTACAACCTCATGTATGTAATATCTACCTAGGAGCACCAATTCCTCATGAGCAGCAAAGTTGAGGTGGTTGAATGGGTCAGAGATGCCATGATTCTCCATGTTATGCGCCAAATTGACGACATACATGATGAGCAAAATGAATTGTCGATGGAAAGAAGTCGAGATCGGACTTACAAAATCTTTTTTTTCCTTCTATTTTCTCATCTGCTAGCTTATTGTAAGAAAACAATTTCCTATAAAAAAAACCCTAGCTCAATTACCAGAGCTAGCTTTTTTTTAGAATCGTTAGTCTAAATACGTCTTAAGTTTGACATCTAATTATACTAATACTGTGTTACTGAATAGTAAGAGAGGAAAAAACATAGAAATGAAATAAAAATCTTACAAAAGCCAATACAATCGTTTCTGTCTAGAATATATGATTTTTACAACCTCGAATTTAAGAATCCACTACTTGTATGAATCCACATTCTTATGACTTATGAGATTCCATAAATTGCAATTTATGTTATTTTTTGGAGAAGATATACAAAAAGCTTTATTTTTTTATTTTATAATTTTGCTGGTCCGGCTTGACCATTTTGTCGTCTACACTCTACATCGTCACTCTGCTTCTCTGTTACTATAAACCCTAACAACCATCGAACTCGTCTCCTTCCTCTCCCTCTTCCATTACCCATTGGAAGAAAAAGGCTGACCTACGAACAAGGAAGAAAAGGGTCGCCATTGATCCTCCGACAATGAACTCCACGCTCACCACTTCCTTCCTCAATTTCAAAGTACCTTCTTCTTCCTCCTCCTTCAATTCAACTTCCCAACTCCCCCATCGTCTCAATTCCACCAGGCTCGCCCACCCGCAACCTTCTTCCATTCCCACCATTACAGCATGCCTACCAAACCCACACCCACCCTTAATCATCCAGCGCCTCAAAACCCTGGCCAAAACCGCCGTCTTGATCGCCGCCTCTGCTTCCGCCGCCGCCCATTTCACCGTTCTCCACCCGGCCAAAGCCGAACCCCCTGCAGCAGCCGAAGCTACTCTAGCTGAAGAAACCCCGGCCACCATCGAAGAGCAACTGGAGCCACAGAACCCAGCTGCTGTGGAGCTGAAGGATGAGGACTCTTCTTCTTCTTCCTCCTTCGCCTCTCCTTTGTCCGAGTTTCTCGTGGGTAACACCGAAGCCGTCGAGTCTCTGAAGTCACTGCTGCAGCAGAAGCTCGAGAGCCGGGAAGACGAGGAGGCGCTCAAGATCCTGACCCGTCTCGTCGCCGCCCAGCCCGCGGCGGTGGAGTGGAAGTTCCTGATGGCGAGGTTGTACAACGAGATGGGTCAGTCCCAGAATGCCCGCAAGGTGTTCGAGGAAATTCTCGCTGTGAATCCTCTGTCGTTCGAGGCTCTTTTCGAGAATGCGCTGCTCATGGACAAGTGCGGGGAACGGGAGGCGGTGATTGCGAGGCTGGAGAATGCTCTGCAGATAGCGGAAGAGGAGAACAAGGTGAAGGAAGCTCGAGACGTGAGGCTGATAATGGCGCAGATACAGTTCCTGCAGAAGAACGTAGAGGAGGCGATGAGGATTTACCAGGAGCTGTCGAAGGAGGATCCCAAGGATTTCCGGCCGTATTTCTGCAGGGGAATGATTTACAGCCTGCTGGATAAGGACGTGGAGGCGAAGCAGCAGTTCGCCAAGTATCGAGAGCTCTCGCCGAAGAAGTTTGAGGTGGATGGATACTTGAGGACTCCATTGTCGAGAATGAAGGTTTTTGGGCCGAGTGATGAGAACTGAGCTCCTGTTATATGGGAGGAAAAGGGCGGGAATAACAATGGAGAGAGTTGAATTCCTCCATAAGAGGTCGATCAAGGAAACCACATTTGGGTAGAGTTCGTTCCTCTTTTGCTTCTTCTTTCTAGTTTATCCATAAAAAAAATTTAACCTGATTTTGTGCAACCGATTACAGACTACAGATAATGTGTTTGAAAGCTAAGAAATAAAAGGGAACAGAGATCTCAATCAGTTGCTGTTTTGAGGCAGCCATTGATTGATTGACATAGAATCTCTGTCTGGAATTGTAGACCGACCATGTACCAGCTTACATTAATGTGGTTGAGACTGCTTAGCAATTGCTTATTTTCTCTGTGTATTTTACCATTCTTGTTCCTCCGACGCCTGGTGTAATTCCTTATTCCTCGTCGATTTTCTATCAATGGCCGATCTACATGTTTCAGACATGGCGATTCTCACTTCCAGAGGGCTCAAACTGAGATCTCTTCATATCTTTGAGTATCTTTGATGCTGCCCACTTCTTTAAACTGTTGCTTGCTGGTGGGTGACCTGATCAGGTCAGGATCATCACGAGATGTCTTCATGATGCGTATTTTGACCTTCCAAGTCCATGGAAGGCTGACAATGTCGCTCTTACACCATCTCGTTCTTGACACTCGCACCAGCCTCCAGAGTACAAAATGCACTTTAGCAACTGACATTGTGCGATGAATGAACCGCTTGCAATGTACCTGATAAAACCAAATAGAACCTCCATAAGATTTTCTTAACTTGATGTCGAATATTATCACAATCATGATCGCAATGATACTGCTACCACAATCTCAATGAGCTTTGGTTCTTAGAATCTGAGGCAAAAGGATCTATAAAAAAATTATGATGCCCCTTTTACAAACTCGATTCACAATTGGTTCTTAGAATCTGAGGCAAAAGGATCTATAGAAAAATTATGATGCCCCTTTTACAAACTCGATTCACAATTGTCGTGCCACGTGAAAACTTATTGAATTCCCTTTCATTTGCATTTGCTAATGGAAAGCATAGTTGATGAACCTAAGACATTTTTGCATTCATTAAAAGAAGGGGGGGGGGGGGGGGGGGGGGGGGAACAGCAGTTTCATCAAAAGCATATCACAGCTTTTACCTGCACTCTTACAGGCTGGCTTGTGTCCCTGGAGTTTCTCTAGAGGAAACAAAATTCTCCCGAAGTTGAACTGGCAACTGTTGCTCCAAACCTAATGCAAAAAGGGCATCCATATGTTAAGAGAGGGAGTCATCTGTATTAGAGGGTAGAACAAGGATGCAACATGAAACAAATGTTTTGCATCAGGCACGAACCAAATTCAAATGGTCGCACTTTCTCAAACTGCTCAAGAGAGATAACTACACAAGTGATCATTCGTTCTACAGAAGACCTAGCAACTCTGCAATACGATATAGTCCTGAGGAGCAACAACAGTTATCATACTAGTATATAAGAATGCAATAGATGTCCAACACCCATTCAATTTAGGTACTTCATAGCCGCTATCACCTAAGTTTTTGCACTGAAATGCTGAAAAATGGGAAATCGTTAATGTTGGCAGATGGAGGGACACAGTGGAGTGAGAAACAAATACTATTCTTAAGAGAGAACAAAGATATGCTCGGGAGACCTCGAAAGACATTTGTCGAACTAGATTTTGTCACCTGAATGAGTGAGCAAGTAGGAACTATAATATAACAAAACATGGAGTAAAACACGGCTAAAGTACAGATCATACTCATATATTCTTTCTTCCTCGAAAACTTTGGCTTCTCCTCTTCTGATTTAGTGCAAACCGCCTTGCCATGGCAGGATTATAGAACTTCCTCATGTGCTCAGAGAGTTTGTGGATGGCTTTTAGATTACCAGTCACTGAAAGCTGCATCAGGAAGGAGTCGAACTGCCGATAAGGTAGCTTCATCCCCTTATCAACAATCTCTTCTACAAGACAACAGGCATCCTCCATCTTATTGCAATGGAAGAGCCCATCAATCATCACACTATAGGTATCGACATCTCTTTCACACCCTCTTTTCTCCATTTCATCCCAAGTCTCACAAGCACCATCATAATCATCCATCTTAAAAAACATCGAGATCAGCATATTATACGTCTGAACACTAGGCAAACACCCTGCCTCAGACATTTGCCCATACAGCCTGAGTGCTGCATCAGCTTCTTTGTTCTTGCAAAGCACATTCAGGAAACAATTGTAAGTAACTATATCAGGAGGATAACCTTTGTCTCCCATCTCTTTCAAGAACCGGTATGCTTCATCCGTCTTGCCAGCTGTATACATTCCTTCAATCATTTCTGTGTAAGTTGGGACGTCCGGAAGGCAACCACTTGCAGTCATATGCTCTATAATTTTCGAGCACTCATCCATTCTATCATTCTGAACTAGAGCTACAATCATTATAGCATAAGTCTTTGCAGTAGGAGAAGAAAGTGTCGAACCTTTGGTTCTCATGAACTCAAATAGATCAGCAGCCTCATCCACCATGCCGGCTCTACAGAATGAATCGATAGCAGTATTATAGGTAAAATTATCAGGCGGGAGACCGAGCTCGATCATTTCATCGAGAACCTTCATTGCTCTAGTCGGGTTCCTAACTCTGCACCACCCAAAGAACAAGATGTTATACGTATTGCTATCTGGCTTAACCTTATTCTTCAACTTTTGAAACAAAGCTTCAGCATCCTCAACCAGACAGCTCTTGCACAAAGCATCCAGAAGCAAGTTGAACGCATTGATCTCCGGCTGAGTCTTCACCCGAATCCTCTTCTTCTTGGCGAATTTCTGAACATGGGTCAGGTACTTCAGCGTGTAATCTCTCAAAATCTTCAACAGAACCTCCGTGGGAACACTCTTCCTGTTGCTCCTCTTCATGTAATCAAGCATATCGCACACAATCCGAAACTGCTTCACTTTGTAATTGGTGCTCGACAAAATGTCCATCATTTCGTTGTAAGCACAGGCCTCGTGCGCATAATCTTCCTGCCGCCCTGCCCACGTGAAGAATCTGAATGCCGTCTTTTCATCGTAACGAAGCCTGTGAAGAACCTCGAGGACCAAATCAGTAGTGAGTTGTATACCAAGCAGATCAAGTGCTTCCTCCATGTGAAGATTCTGCTTGGGCTGTAATGACTCGGAGGTTCCCACTATAGTTTCGCACAGTCTTTCCCTCTGGAGCTCAATAAGGTCATTGCGCCTCCTAGTAGGACTAAGGGTTTGCTCTGACACAACAGCCATTTGAGTACAGTAGAAACGCCAATCATTCTTGGAGGGAAAGCTGGGCGCACGGAAATCAGTGCTTGGCAGAGTACGGGGAACTGAAGGAGAAATACTTGCGAAGATGGGATTGGAACCACAGAATGTTCGAAAAGCTGATAAAGAGTTACGGAATCTTCGCATCATGAAACCCCTAGAATTGTATTGGCGACGACGAGTTCGACATGGACGAATCTTACGGCTGGTTGAACATGAGCCTACTTCCGAGAATCGGAGATGAAAGAAATGCTAAGAAAGCACAAATACCAGCCGGCGGCGCAAGGCTGGAAGTCTGGAACGGCGGGTGAAAGGTGGACTGGGTAGTGGGTACAGAGGAAGCTGAGAAGCGATGAGCGAGGATGCCAATTGCCAAACACTCTGCTTTCGACTCAATTACAGATTGGCAACGTAAATGATGAAGACATTTAGAACTGAAAGCGTAAATCATCAACAATATCAGAGTGGCGCAGCGGAAGCGTGGTGGGCCCATAACCCACAGGTCCCTGGATCGAAACCAGGCTCTGATAACTTTTTCTTTGTTTTTGCTGTTTATTTATGCTCAGTCTTCCAACCAACGATGCAATGATTGCAACCTGCTGCACCCTCTACTTCTTCAGAACTCCATCTTGCTAGCCTACTGGTGAATCATTGGTGAAAGTTCTCCACAATCGTTCTCTGGTATTGTCTCCATCAACTGCAGACAACGAGACTTCTTCAAAAAACGGAACAATCATATACAACTTCTGAGCTCCTTTTCACTAGTAGCAAACCCAAAGGCCACAATGAAACATATTGTGGAAAACAATGACGAGGGAAGGCAAATGGTACTATATTAGCTGTTCAAGTTCTTCATGAGCTATCACAGAAAGTTGTGACAGAAGCCCTAGATTAACACACTATTACAGAAGGGCACTTTTCAGCTTCATCAGGTCGATTCTCCACAGCACAAATGGAGTATCAGTACTAACTTTTCACAAATTTTGCTAACAACTGAGCGTGTAGCCAAATTACAAACACCACCAGGTACTTGCTGTCGCGATTAAGGCAGCAGCAGCAGTAGTAGTAGACTGTCTCAAGTCAGTTTGGTCTTCTTGGATTTCTCTGCAACCTCGTCCTCTGCTTCCTCCTCCGAGCTTTCGTCCTCGTCCTCAACCAACTCATCAGGAACATCAGCAGGAACGTTATGCTTGGTGATGAATTCCTTCAGTATCCTCATGCTTTCTTCTTTCATGGCAACCAGTTCCTCGGAGATGGCAGCACCTTCCCCTTTCGTGGCTGCCACCGAATGCGTCTCGGAGCCAAGTCTGAATGTGGCCTTCACACGGATCCCAATTCCATTACCACCATCAACCTCCATTTTCTCTCGCACACTCTCTGCAAAATCAGGTGCCACATTCATTCATAATACATCAAAGAGTTAAAAAATTTCTTCTTCCCACCGTTGATTTGCCATTAAAAACCAGAAGAACTGAATCAATTCGAATTCATTCAGTTTATAGCTCTCTAGTCGATTATTCTTTTTGGCGGCAGTCAGCAGTAATAGACAAACACAGCAGGGAGCAAGAGCAACATTGGATATTCAGTTATTCACATCTACGACTTTGTTTGTGTGGGGAAATAACTAATAAGGAGGAGATTTACCTCGGATGGGAAGCGGCGGAGAAGTGAGGGTTTCTAAGGCGGCGCAACCGCGCCGGAAGGAGATTGAATCGGCGGAGGAAGGAGGGAGAGCGGCGGCGGCGGCGGCGAGGCTAGGGTGTGCGAGAGTGCAGCAGTATTGATGGAAGAAGAGGATGGGCGGAAGGGCCTGCTTACTAGAGATCGGGTTTTGGGCTTTTTTGGTGGAAGAGACGATTGGGCCCAAACAAAAAACAAGCCCATAATTCCCTAACAAAATAGGTAGAACAGAATCGATTCCAGCTCGAGAAGGAAAAGGAGATTCTTACAGAACACATACTTCTTACTGTTCTTCCTTTTTAGGGGATGTCCAGACCGCATATTTAATCGTCTCCTCCAACCTTCTCTCTGTCACGCTCGCTATTCTTTACATATGAATAGTTCATGCTGGAGCCCTGTATGTCGATTCTTGACATATAGCAGAAGAACAGAGCAACCTGAGAAGCTCTGCAGCAGCATGTCTAGGCAGGAAATGGATCTGATCGCCCCTGTGTGTGACGACAGAATCACCATCCTTCCCGCAGATGTGATACAGCGGATTCTGATGTTCTTACCACTCAAAGCTGCTGCCAGAACGGCCTTGCTGTCGACTCAGTGGAGGAGCCACTGGAGACGCATGCCTCAGCTCGTGTTTTGCAACGATTTCACGATTGCTGCCAATAATGATGTGCTGATGATAAAAAAATTGATGTCTAACATCTGCAGGGTTCTGCTGCTTCACGATGGGCCGATTGAAAAGTTTGCACTTGCTGTTCCTGGATTAAGATCGGCACTTTGCGAGAGCGAGATCGATCAAATCATCCTCCATCTTCCCAACAGAGATCTCAAGACATTCGAGCTCGGGTTCTATGTTCGTGACAATCAGGTCATGTACAAGTTACATTCCGCCTTGTTCTCTTGTCATCAACTGAACGCGCTGGATCTTTGTTACTGCGAGTTCAGACAACCATCATGGTTTGTGGGTTTTGGCAAGCTCAACATTCTTCACATGCGCCAAGTAATCCTGCCCACTGATTTCTTTGAGAATTTCCTTGGCAAGTGCCCCAACCTTCAAACTCTGCTGGTGGGCGATTGTGTTGGTCCAAGTAATATTGAAGTCGTGGCTCCCCGTCTCCAAATATTCACCTTCTATGGGTATTTGCTGCAAATCTGCTTCAAGCATGCTCCACTTCTGCAGTCACTTGTAATTGATCTCCATGTCCGCGGACAAGGAGTCGAGAAGCCTGTTGTTGACACTGCAGCTTTATTTGCTTCCCTCCCAGCACTCCAACAATTTGGACTCGACTTTCAACTCCTACAGGTAAGAGTATTTTGGCATATTCTTGCTTGTTAATTTTCCCACTTCGTTATCAAAACCTCTGTCTCATAAATTCTTTCTGGTCATTAGTGAAAGGAATTGGAAGATTTGATATTTGTGAGAAAACTGACTTGATTCTCATTGATGATTCTGTGATCTAATATACAGCCTTTTGAGAGACAAACCAGGAACACGTACAACAGAATTGACATACACTTCCCACAAAGATAGCAACAGAATAGTAGTGGGAAAAAGGAGAAATAATAAAAATTATTTATCTCTAATACGCCCCCGCAAGACGGAGGCGGTATCAACGACTCCGATCTTGGACCGCAAAAGGAAGAATCGAGCGGCAGGTAGCGGTTTGGTGAGAACGTCGGCAAGCTGGTGAGCAGTGGGAATGTAGCGGACAGTCAGACGACCAGATTGAACAAGTTGGCGAACAAAGTGGTAGTCCAAGGCCAAATGCTTCATTCTGGAATGGAAAATGGGATTGGAACAAAAATATGTAGCACCAAGGTTGTCAGAGTATAGAGTGGGGGACGAACGCAGAGGTTGATGAAGCTCAGCAAGCAGATTTTGCAGCCATTCTATTTCGGCAGCGGCATGGGCGATGGCCCTATACTCAGCCTCAGTACTGGAACGGGCTACAGTGCGTTGCTTCTGAGAGCGCCAGGAAACCAGAGTAGAGCCAAGATAGAGAACATAGGCCGAGGTAGAGGACCGATCATCCAAGTTGCCAGCCCAATCTGAGTCAGCAAATGCAGATAGTACTAGTGGTTGCGGTTGACGATGAATATGAAGCCCATGGGTAAGAGTGCCCGCAACATAGCGAAGTAAACGCTTGACGCACTGCCAATGATGCACAGTAGGAGAGTGCATGAATTGAGATAACCGGTTGACCGAGAAAGCAATGTCAGGCCTTGTGTAGACCAGATATTGGAGAGCGCCGAGAACCTGTCGATAGCGAGTAGCATCGGTTGGGGCGCTGCCATCGGAGAGAGAAAGAGAGACTGTGGAAGCCATAGGTGTTGGAGCAGAGGCAGCATCAAGCATATGAAAGCGCTGCAGAATATCCTTCATGTACTTATGCTGTGAAAGAATATAACCAGAGGCAGTGGGTAGAACCTCAATTCCCAGGAAGTAACTGACATTGCCCAGTGATTTTAAGGAAAAACGCTGAGAGAGAGCAGCCTGGAAGTCGGATAGGAGAGGAGCATTATTCCCTGTGAGCAGCAGATCATCCACATAGACCAAAAAATAGAGAAGAGCACCATCGCGATTATAGACAAAGAGAGATGAATCAGAGTGAGTTTTAGTGAACCCATACTCCAGGAGAAACGCACTGAGTGCTGTGTACCAAGCGCGAGGTGCTTGCCGGAGACCATAAATGGCACGTTTAAGGCGGCAGACGTGATGCGGACGATCAGGATCCACAAAGCCGGGGGGCTGAACCATGTATACCTCATCGGTCAATGGGCCTTGAAGAAAGGCATTGTTGACGTCGAAGTGAGCAATAGACCAGTTGTGAGATAAAGCAAGAGTGAGGACAGTGCGTACTGTGACCGGTTTAACCACGGGGCTAAATGTGTCTGTGAAGTCGATACCAGGCCGTTGATTAAAACCTTTGGCAACCAAACGAGTTTTGAAGCGAGCAATGGAGCCGTCAGGTTCATGCTTGACTCGATATACCCATCGATTCCCCAAAACATTATAATGGGGGAGCCTGGGAACGAGATCCCATGTTTCATTCGCGAGGAGCGCTTGATTTTCCGCGGTTAAGGCAGCTGACCACTCAGGGTATTGAAGAGCTTCGGCAACAGAGGCCGGCTCAAGTGGCGGTAGAGAATATGGCATAGTGGGCTGGGGAGACCGTGAGGAGCAACCTGCAGCAACATGAAATAAACGTTTGGGCTTGAAAATCCCATGTTGGGCCCGTGTTATCATAGAGTGAGACCTGTGAGGAGGAGGCGGCTGGACTGGCGGAGGTGGGGGCCCAGCGGGTGGCGTCGCGGGCTCGGAGGGCGGCCCAGAATCCGGGAATGGGCCAGAGGAAGTTGAAGAAGACCCGGCGCTAGAGGGAGCCGCTGAAGAAGGGTTGCTGGGCCCAGAGGAGAGTGGGCTGGTGTGTGTAGAGTTGGGCCTAGGTACCTGCAGATTAGTAATTGTGGGACTAGAGTCCAATAACCATGTAGCAGGCGAGGGAGGAGGAATAGAAACAGGAGAAGTGTAGCCAGGGAAATTTGTCTCAATAAAACGAACATGCCTGGACAAAAAAAGACGATTAGTGAGGGGATCAAAACAACGATAGGCACTTCGCTGCGGGCAATAACCCAAGAAAAGACAAGAGCGGGACCGAGGTTCAAGTTTTGTGGTGGAGTACGGACGAAGCCAAGGATAACACAAGCAACCAAAAATACGAAGTTTATGATAATTGGGAGCTTGGTTAAAGAGTAAAGTATATGGAATTTGGCCACGGAGAGCAGAGGAGGGCATGCGATTAATAAGATAAACCGCAGTCGAGAAAGCGAATGACCAAAAAATTGAAGGAAGTTTAGCATGATGGAGTAGGGTGATACCAGTTTCAACAATATGACGATGCTTGCGTTCGGCTAAACCATTGTGCTCAGGAGTGTGAGGTGGAGTGAGTAAATGAGTAATACCATTAGCCCCTAATGTGGAACATAACTTGTGAAACTCACCACCACCATCGGTATAGATCTGACGAATGGTGGTAGAAAAATAATTTTCAACCATAGTGCGAAAATCAAGAAATACTTGAAGAACATCAGATTTTCGACGAAGGGGATAATACCATGTATAACGAGTGTAGTGATCAACAATAATAAGATAATAATGGTAATTATCAATGGATGCAACAGAGGCGGGGCCCCAAACGTCAGTATAAAGGAGATCAAAAGGCCGAGTGCTCGAAAGAGAAGAAACACCAAAAGGAAGTTTATGAGATTTATTAGAAAGACAAGCATCACAATGAGTAATCGAGGAAGACGAGGAAACTGGAAGGGATTGAGAACGCAGGAGACTTCGAAGTGACTGCTCAGAGGGATGACCAAGACGAGAGTGACACGAATCAGCAGAGGTACGAGTGGTGACAAGAGCCATACGAATTGGCGCAGCCTCCGGCGGCAACTCATACACATCACCGCGGTTTTCCCCTTTCAACAGCAGCGCCCCCGTGCGAAGGTCCTTCACAACAAAATAAGAGGCAAAAAATTCCACGGACACTGGGTTAGTACGACATAATTGGGCTACAGAAATAAGATGCTTTTTGATGGCCGGAACATGTAGCACATCTTGCAAAGAAAGAGAAGCAGAACCAGCAGAAAGGTGAGAAGAGCCAATATGGCTAATCCGCAAACCTGAGCCATTGCCAATGATGATCTCGTCTGGGCCGGTATAGTCCGAATATAAGGATAAATTACCGAGATCGGCTGTAACATGATGAGAAGCGGCCGAATCCATTAACCAGGGATTGTGAGAGGCCGGATTATTGCTGGGTGATGGTAGCAAAGGCGGCCCAGTGTTAGTAAAATGGACCTGTGGATTATGGGCCTGGCGGGCCGGAAGAGGGGCCTGCCGTGCTGGTGGAAATAATTGAAAGCACTGGCGCACAGAGTGCCCAGGCTTTTGACAGTACTGACAAATGGTGCGGGCCCGACGTGGAGGAGGGCTGGGCAGATCAGCATGGGAGAAGGCCTGCGGATATGGGCCTGAAGCCCGTTGATGAGTAGAATTAAACCCGCGGGGAGGAAGGGCATCGGAATAGGGTTGCTGCGGCGGCGTAAATCGTTGCTGACGAGAATAAGATTGGCCGCCATGTCTCTGTCCCTGGGTGAAAAATGCAGTCGGAACAGAGGAGACCACCTGTGCTTTCAAATCCGCTTCAAACTCGACCAACGAGTCAACGAGATCTTCAAGAGTAAGACCAGGCCCTCTTGCACGAACAGCTGCAGAAAATGGCTTGTATTCATCACCCAAGCCGCGAAGACAGTGCACAACAAGATCGATGTCCTTGACGGGATCGCCGATGAGTGCAAGTTCAGCTGCGGTGGTCTTGAGATCGTTGACAAAGGTAAGAATATCACGATCTCCCTTGACAATCTTCCCAATTTTGCCCTTCAGATGAATGACGCGCGATTGTGCGTGGCTAGCATAGAGTTTCTCCAGAACAAGCCAGGCATCACGAGCGGTAGCGGCGGTGGAAACAAAAGAATAAATTGATTCTTCAATTGAGCAGCGCATAGCATGAAGTATAAGTTTATCTTGCCTAAACCAATGGTGATAGGCTGGATTTGGTGCAGAAGCGGCATCAATGGTGATTGACTTCGGCGGAGCAGCTTTTGTACCATCAATGAAGCCGACCAAATCGAGACCCATGAGGAGAGTCTCTAGCTGTGACCTCCAGGAAGCGAAGTTCGTCGGAGTGAGTTTTAGAGGAAGTTGCGCCGCTGGGTTAAAGGTGATGATTTGGGTCTCTGAACTTGTGACCCTGTCTTGCGGATCAGAGGTTGTGGAGTCACCTGCCATGATGACAGCAAGCAGAGGAAAGAAGAAGGTGAATGAAGAGAATTGGAACGAGGAAAGAATCGGATCAATCTAGCTGATCGTTGCTAGAGCTCTGATACCATGAAAGGAATTGGAAGATTTGATATTTGTGAGAAAACTGACTTGATTCTCATTGATGATTCTGTGATCTAATATACAGCCTTTTGAGAGACAAACCAGGAACACGTACAACAGAATTGACATACACTTCCCACAAAGATAGCAACAGAATAGTAGTGGGAAAAAGGAGAAATAATAAAAATTATTTATCTCTAATAATTAGTACTTTGCTCCAGGGAATCATGTGAGTGCCCCCATTAGGCTTCCTGCTCCACTTCACCGGATACAATCCGTCAACATAAGCCGTGTTGATTTGGGTAGCTGGGAGAAGGTGTTTGCTTTTGCTTGTCTGATCATGAGTTTCCCCAACTTGCTTTACCTCAGAATTCAGGTTTGTTTTTGTGCTTACATATTAATTTGGCCGTATAAATTCTCCCTAGCTCCTAGCTGGCTAAGCCTCTGATCTAAATTAACTGGATTCTTTGATAAATGTTGTTGATGATATAGCGGGAGGCTAGCCAACAAAATCATGCAGTAACGAACATCGGGCGCATGCTGCTGGCCGTGGGCGGCCATCGCCGTGGACTGGGTTTTTGTTTGCAGAACCTCAGGGTGTTGGACATTCAGAACTGTCTTGCTACGCGGAGTGAGCGAGACGTAGTGAGATGGGTGCTAGCCATCGCTCCGCTACTGGAGAGGGTTCAGCTTACATCTTTGCAGACACTTGGCTTCCAAACAAGATTCGAATTCATGAAGGAAGTGCTGATGTATCCGCGTGCATCTAGGAAAGCAGTAGTGTTATATAACTGACGATGACAGATGATGAGTGCAGTTATATTATGTTATGTTACAGTCTAACTAGCTGGCAGATATTACATTGGTTGTAGTAATGTGGGTGGCATAGATAGTCACTATTTGGGTTAATATATTTGTATGACCTGAACTTTGACCAAAATAAACATCATGGTTAATCTTTTTCGATCTATAACATCCTGGCCCAAACTATACATCAAAATAACTAAATTGGTCAAACCCGACGTTTGATCGTTAACTTGGACGGTCAAACGTGTTAACTAATGGTCAACGCGCCACATCACCGCCCAGTCAGCTGGGACCGTTTATAATTGTTTATGTTTTGGTTAAGTTTTGTACTAAGTGCAAATGTTTGTGATTGTTTATGCAAATTACCTTAAGATTTGGGTGTTGAGCTCTCTTATCCGGTCTTTACCCAGCTTTCGATCCGGTCCCGAACGATTTTTTTTACCTCAAATCTAAACCCAAAGATTGAATTGTTTACTGTCCGGTCCCGGTCCGATCTCGATCCGGATTATTCGATTCGATTTCGCGTAAAACCTTGAGTAAGCATGTGACTCCGTATATATTTGAACTTGTTAACTTAATTATTCAATTTATTACCTCTCTTTCTCATTTATGAAGTATTTTTTTTATTTTCTTACGAAGAGTTCAATTTTTATGTTTCTAACCTTCGAATAATATGCAATAATTAAGGGAGTTGCTAAAGGTCGCCCTTAGAATTGCTAAAGGTCGCCCTAAAAAAGTTTAAAGTTACAATTATAACCCCCTATCTTCTTTACCTTCCCTTTATCAAACAAACACCACTTGAACTAAAAAAACACTATCCAAGGAGAGAAAAATCCATCATCGTCATTTTGAAGCCGATATCGTCGATAGGACGTCTGAATCATGAGTAGTGACTCCGACGAGGTAAATACATTAACTGAAAAACCAAAAAAAAAAAAAAAAAGGGAACCGCGGTCAAATTGCGGTTGGACCATGGCTGGACCGCAAATGACCTGCGGTTGGACCATGGCTGGACCGCAAATGACCTGCGGTTGGACCATGGCTGGACCGCAAATCACCTGCGGTTCAGCCATGGTCCAACCGCAGGTCACTTGCGGTCCAGCCATGGTCCAACCGCAGGTCATTTGCGGTCCAGCCATGGTCCAACCGCAGTTTGACCGCGGTCAGCCATCGGTTCAACCGCGCGTTGACCGCGGTTGACCGCGGTTGACCGTCGGTGTAACCGCGGTTTGACTGCGGTCGGCACTAGTTGTTTTTTTTTTTTTACCTTCTTCTTCTCCGGCGACGGCGAGCGCGCGAGAGGTAAAGGGCACGACTTCTTCTTCTCCGGCGGGCAAGGAGACTTCTTCTTCTCTGGCGGCGAGCGCGCGACAGGTAAAGGGTCGTCTGTGCGTCGGTGGACCAGGAGGCAGAGCAGGTCGCCGGCGACGGGAGCGACACGGCGGCAACGACGGGAGCAGGAGGCCGGCGACAGGAACAGCAGAGGGGGAGGGGTTCGCCGGCGGCGACTCGGAGAGGGTGGAAGGTTTGTGGATTCGTCTGCTGCCGAGGGAAAGGTAAAGGGTTGTTTGGTTGTCCTATTTTTTCAATTTTCATTAAGGGTATATAGGTAATATGACATTTAAGTTAGGGCGACGTTTAGCAATTCTTAGGGCGACATTTAGCGATTCAGATAATTAATCGACCTCCTCCACCTGACCACCTTGTACGTACCTCTAGATTAAAAGAATGATACGAGTTTGAAATGTAGTTTGTGTTGATATAATTTCGGAATAGATACATGTACAAATAGGAATGAAAACAAAATATGAACTGACGGGTATCCTACCTGATTCAATTTGGTTAACGCGAGTAAAATTCTTGTTGACGGGATTCAGACCGGGTTTGGATTTAAACCCAATACACTATTGTCCGGGTTGGGTTGGGTTTGGGGATACCCGCCCACACTTATTTTGTCGCCCTACTCTTCCCAAACCCAACCTTAATTCTAATTTTCCCCATCTAGCTCTCCCCAAACCCTACCCTAATTTTATTTCTTACCAAAGTAATGTTTCCTTTTTTCCCAAAAGAAGTGTGAGGGATAAATTAATAATTTAAGTTGAACACACCATGTTTGTGGTTTGCTGCTCTCTCATAAACAAAAAGGGGGAATGAACGAAAAACAAAGAATTGTGTGCTTTTATTAGTGTAATTGTGATTTGTTTGAATTTTCTATACTAGTATTTTATGTATCGATAATTTGTATGGAGAAATTGATGTTTGACTTTTATTTTGATAGGAACTTGTTAAGTAAAATTTTTACCACAAAAATCCACGGGTATCTACGAACCCACGGATACTGTCACGGACCAACTCTTGGCCGTGCGGCACTTAGCTCTCAAGTCTCGTTACAGCGCTAAGTCATCCTTGCTCGTATTCACTCAAACTCACAAGTGTTGAAGAAAACTCTATAGATGGAAATCTCTCTATTTCTGGATGAATGAAAAGTGGTGGAGAGGGCTGCTTATATAGGCATCCTCTCCACTAAGTACAATGTACATGGCCGTCATAAATGAACGAACCTAGATAGTCCCCCCATACATGAACTAGCCCCATACATGAATGTAATAAATGATATACATGAATAAAGATAGAAAAAGGGGGATGCATGTATATTGGTGCATGAATCGGAAGATGCATGCATGTACTTGCATCGTTCTAGAATGCTCTAGAATCTTCCGCGTAACATTCTCCCCCACTCAATCTCGCGACGCCCTCGTCGCGGACTCCGCATGAAATGCCTCGATCAAGTCTTTGTGACGCCATAGCGAAAGCTCCTTCTCCCATGTGATGTCGCTTTCTGGCCGCCCCTTCCACTTGACAAGATATTCCGCGTAGCTTGGGTGAACACCACGCCTAGGCACAACACGATGAGCCAAGATCTCCTCCACTTCGTGCTCATGCGTTGTGGTGACGAGTGTTGGTGCTCTCGTCGACTCCTTCCGCGCTCCATCTTCCTTGTCTTCATGATATGCCTTCAATTGACTCACATGGAAGACGGGGTGAATCTCCAAGTGCGATGGCAGCTCAACTTTGTATGCCACCATGCCAATCCGCTTCAAGATCGGATATGGCCCTTCATATCGTCGCAGCAGCCCCTTGTGCACATTTTTTAGGTGCTTGAATCAATGAGGGAAGAACTTCACCATCACCAAGTCTCCCTCCTCGAATTCCAAGTGACGCCGCTTCTTATCCGCCCACTTCTTCATCTTCTTAGTTGCTCGAGCGAGATAAGACTTAGCCAACTCCATCTTCTCGTGCCACCCTCGTGCAAACTTGTAGGCAGATGGGCTATTGCCCTTGTACCCCGTAGTCACCGTATTAGGTGTCAACGGCTGCTGGCCAGTCGCCAACTCGAACGGGCTCATGCTCGTGGCTTCACTTCGGTGTAAGTTGTAGGAGAATTGGGCTACATCCAAGAGCTTCACCCAATCCTTCTGGTTGGCACTCACATAATGCCTCAAGTAAACCTCCACCAAAGCATTGACCCGCTCGGTTTGCCCATCCGTTTGAGGATGAAAGCTCGTGGAGAAGTTCAGATCGGAGCCCATCATCTTGAACAACTCCCTCCAAAATTTGCCGGTGAAGCGGCCATCTCTATCGCTGACGATGCTAACCGGGATGCCCCAATACTTCACAACATGCTTGAAAAACAAGCGGGCTGCATCCTCGGCCGTCATGTCTTTAGGCCACCGCGATGAAGACGCCATACTTCGAAAATCTGTCGACGACGACCATGATGGAACCACACCCTTCGACTTTGGGAAGGCCGATGATGAAATCCATGCTAACGCTTTCCCAAGGCCGTTGTGGAGTGGGTAATGGCTCCAACAAGCCCGCCGGACTCCGCTGCTCCACCTTATCTTGCTGGCAAACAAGACAAGTCTTGACGTAGAGTTCCACGTCGTCCTTCATACGAGGCCAATAGTAAGCCTCCTCGATGAGAGCTTGTGTGCGCTCAATGCCGGGATGACCAGCCCACTTGGAGTCGTGGCACTCCTTCATGATCTCCCTTCGTAGGTTGTCCCACCGCGGCACGAACACTCGCTCCCCCTTAGTCACGATGAGTCCGCCTTTCATCCAAAATCGCCGAGTCTTCCCTTGCTTGATGTACTCGACCACGGTTTTGGCGAAGGGGTCGTGGCTAAGGCCTTCTTCAATCCTCTCCTTCAAGGGGAATTGCGGCTGGCTGATGGCGGCAAGTGCGCTCTTTCGGCTAAGAGCGTCGGCAACAAAGTTTGTTTTCCCCGGCTTGTACTCCAGCACAAAGTCGAACTCCGCGAGGAAGTCTTGCCACCTTGCTTGCTTGGGCGCGAGCTTCTTCTGTGTGAGGAAGTAACTCGTCGCCACATTGTCTGTCTTTACAACGAAATTCGACCCAAGCAAGTAATGCCTCCACGTTCTCAAACAATGGACCACTGCCGTCATCTCCTTCTCTTGCACCGCATATCTCCTCTTGGCCTCATTGAGCTTGCGGCTCTCAAAAGCAATTGGGTGCCCTTCTTGCATCAACACCCCACCGATTGCAAAATCGGAAGCATCTGTTTGCACTTCGTACGCCTTGGTTGGACCGGGAAGTGCTAGCACCGGCTCCTTCGTCACCGCATCCTTCAAGGCTTCAAATGCTTCGCGGCACCGATCCGACCATTCCCAAGCCTTGTTCTTCTTTAGAAGATCCGTCAAGGGTGCTGCAAGAGCGGAGTATCCCTTGATGAATCTCCTATAATAGTTGGCCAGGCCGAGGAATGATCGCAACTCGGTGACCCTCGTCGGTGGCTCCCATCCTTGTATCGCCTCTACCTTGGCCTCGTCCATCTTTAGCTTGCCTCCGCCGATGATGTGTTGCTGTACACCACGATGTCATCCAAATACACCACCACGAAGCGATCCAAGAACGGCTCGAAAACTTGGTTCATCAAGGTGCAAAAAGTAGCAGGACCGTTGGTTAGTCCAAAAGGCATAACAAGGAACTCGTATGAGCCATACCTCGTGACGCAAGCGGTCTACGCCTCGTCCCCCTCGGCGATCCTCACTTGGTAGTACCCTGAGCGAAGGTCGAGCTTCGTGAACCACTTTGCTTCTCCGAGTTGATCAAACAAGTCGCTAATATTGGGGATTGGCCACTTGTTCTTCACCGTGAGCTTGTTAATAGCTCGATAATCGATGCACATCCGCAAAGAACCATCCTTCTTCTTCTGGAACAAAATGGGTGCTCCATAGGGTGATTTCGAGGATTGGATGAAGCCAGCATCCAACAACTCCTTGAGTTGCTTCCTCAATTCCTCCAACTCGGGAGGGGCCATGCGATAAGGTGCTCGTGCTGGTGGCGTCGCCCCTTGCTCAAGCTCGATCTTGTGATCGACTTCTCTTCTTGGCG